CACCAGGATGTGCTGTGTTCTTGCTGCTGGCACATCCTCCAATCACTGGAGAAACTTATCCTCCGCTGCCACTACCACAGGCCCTGAATGCAGATAGGAACCACGTCCTTGCTGCTGCTGTTACCTCCAGCTGCCGGGAGCCTGCTGCCATTCCACTCGTGGCCTGGTCTCACTGCCAATACCGTGCTGCCACCACCTCCAATCATCAAGAGGATCTCAGGCAGCACTGCATCGACCACCACCTCGGGCTGCCAGGAGACTGCCATCAATCCACACACGGCCTGCTCTCACTGCCCTACCGAAGCCGCCAATTAACCCGCTGCAAAATGCCATAAAGCAAATAAAAATGAGAAGAAATAACAGAAGAAAAGAAAGAAAAAGCAAAAAGAGAAAGAAAGCAGACAGGAGTGGACAAGCCCAGGCTCAGGAGGCTGCACACAGCCATGTTACTTCGCTGCCAAGTAATAACAATAAGTAATGAGGCTCACCGGGTGGAACAACAAATCCCTTCTGAGCCAGTCAGCAGATCGACAAGTGGGAAATAGACCACAGCATGTTGCAGACTGGAATGTGTTACACTTGGGAAACATAGACCAACTAATTTTACAGCCACTGATTTGTTCAATCACATCCTCAGCTCCAACTTTGGTTCCTTTATCCCCGATAAAACCATTACCTTCTCTTAATCCATTCTTGTATCACCATCACTTCCATTAAGGTCAAGGTGTATGGACTTGCAAGGATATGGCAAAGAGTTGGTTTATCAGATCTCATATATCAGATTCCATTCTTCTCTGTGAAAACACTTCACGTTTCCTGTTTCGTCCTGAAACGTAGGATAAACATTGGCTACTTTTCTCTGTTGAAAATTGTGAACTACACCCTCTATCCCATTTGGTACAGTGGTATATGTTTTGGAGGGAGCTATCCTAGAATATTTGTGCACTCAACACAATGGACAATGTTCTCCGTGTGAATGCAGGACTTTGTTTCAACAAGAAATCTTTGGTGTTTGTTGCGACTAAATACTTTTTTTTACATTTGTTCGTGGGATATGGGCATTTTGCCCAACCCTACTGCCCAGAGGGTGGTTATGAGTCACCACGTTGCTGTGGTTTTGGAGTCATAAGCAGGTCCAGACCAGCTGAGGATGGTAGATTTCCTTCCCCAAAGGACATAGACATGGAAGTCAATGCTGAGGACTCCCAGGGCAACTCCCTCCCAACTGTATATCATTGTGCCACCAGCCTTGCTGGATTTGTCCTGCGAATGTGAAAGGACATACTCAGGTATAGTGGCATCTGGGACATTGTCTATAAGGTATGATCCCATGAGAATACTCAACAACACTTTAGAAGCTTGACACCATCCCATTTGACTGGCACCACATCCACAAACATCCAACCCCTCTACACCGACACTCAGCAGAAGCAGTGTGAAACATCTAAAAGAGGCACTGCAGAAATTTGCCAAGGTTCCTGAGATAGCACCTTCCAAAACACCTTCCTAGCTTACTTCCATCTAGAAGGACAAGGGCAGCAGATCCATGGGACAACCAGCACCCGCAAATTCTTCTCTAAGACACTCATCATCCTGACTTGGAAATATATCGTCGTTCCTTCAGTGTCACTGGGTCAAAATCCAGGATCGCACTCCCTCATGGTATTGTGGGTCTACTCATGGATGACAACGGTTCAAGAAGGCAGCTCACAACCACCTTCTCAACAGCAACTGGGGATGGACAGTAAATGCTGGCCAGCCAACGACATCCACACCCCATGAGTGTTGAGGACTCCCATGGCAGTTCCCTCCTGACTGTGCGCCAGTGCTGTGCTGCTGCCACCTTTCCTTGGTCTGTGCTGTCGGTGGGACAGGATACATCCAGCGATGCTGATGGTGGTGTCTGGGACTTTGTCTGTAAGGTATGATTCTGTGAGTATGACTATGCCAGGCTGTTGCTTGACTAGTCTGTGGGACAGCTCTCCCAATTTTGGCACTAACCTCCAGATGTTAGAAAGGAAGTCTTTGCACGGTTGACAGGTCTGTGTGTACCATTGTTGTTTCCAATACCAAGTTCAATGCCGAATAGTCCATCCGGTTTTACTCCTTTTAGAATTAACTGCAAACTGTTCGGCCCTTTGAAGCATTTGATTATCATCTGAAGATTCTGGCATTTTAAGTAGTTCACAATGTTTCCTGCCTGAGGCCTCGTTGGAAATATTATTCAAAGATCAGGATAATGAAAGCCTCTAATTGCCTTCATCTGTAGGCCTACTTTGGCCTCATTCAATAATCATCGTATTTTGAGCAGCATTGAGTTCACTGAAAGGAATTGAGGCTATCATAGTTCCAAATCTTTTATTCATTAACAGGTTGAGGGCATTGCTGGCTAGGCAGCATTTATTGCCCAGCGGGTAGTTAAGAACCACCTACATTGCTGTGGGTCTGGAGTCGCATGTAGGCCAGACCAGGTAAGGATGGCAGTTTCCTTCCCTAAAAGACATTAGTGAACCAGATGGGTTTTTCCTCAACAATCAACAATGGATTCATGGTCATCATTAGACTCCTAATTCCAGATATTTTATTGAATTCAAATTCTACCATCTGCCATGGCAGGATTTGTAATCAGGTCCCTAGAAAGTTATCTGGGCCTCTGGATTAACAATCCAGTGATAATACCACTAGGCCATCACCTCCCCTTCTCAATATCGCTACTTGACGGAGGTGAGGTGAACCTCAGGTTAGACTTAACAACAGTTCTCTCTCTCTCTAATGAGAGAACAGTCCTCTGATACTATGGAGACTGTTACCTGTGTTGGAATTAGCAGCCAAGCCTTATATACTTCAACAATGTATTGAGTTGTCCTCCATGGTGCTATATAAAGGCTAGCCTGTCTTTTCCATAGGAGAACGCCTTCCATTTCTCCATATCGTTATGACCATTTTATACCATTGAAAAGGAATGAAATGTGGATGGATGAGTTAGTAAGTTTGCAGATGACACAAAGATCAGTGGAGTTGTGGATAGTGTAGAAGGTTATCAAAGGATACAGCAGGATGTAGATCAGATGCAGAAATGGGTGGAGAAATGGCAAATGGATTTTAATCTGGGCAAGTGTGAGGTGCTGCACTTTAGGAGATCAAACATTATGGAAATATATACAGTTAATGGCAGGACCCTGAATAGCATTGATGTACAGAGGGATCTTGAAGTTCAAGTCCATAGCTCCCTGAAAGTGGCCACACAAGTAGATAGGTTGGTAAAGAAGGTGTGTGGTGTTCTTGTCTTTTTTGGTCAGGGCATTGAGTACAAGAATGAGGATGTCATGTTGCAGCTTTATAAGACTTTGGTTAGGCCACACTTAAAGTATTGTGTTCAATTCTGGTTGACATGCTACAGAAAGTATGTGAAGGCTTTGGAGATGGTTCAGAAGAGGTTTTCTAGGATGCTGCCTGGATTAGAGAGACTAGAAAAACTCAGGTTGTTTTCTCTGGAGTAGTGGAGGCTGATGGGAGACTTGATATAAATCTATAAAATTATAAGGTGCATAGATAGGGTTGACAGTCGGAATCTTTTGAAATGTCTAACAGTCGGGCGCGTACATTCAAGGTAAGAGGGGAAAGTTATGAGAGGCAAGTGTTTTACCCAGAGTGTGGTAGGAGTCTGGAACGCACTGCCAGGTGTGGTAGTGGAGGCAGAACCAATAGGGGCATTTAAGGGGCTTTTAAATAAGCACAGGAATATGTAAGGTTTGGAGTGGTATGGATTAATGGCAGGCAGAAGGAATTAGTTTAATTTGGCTTCATTTTCGGCACAACATTCTGGGCTGAAGGGCCCTGTCTTGTGGTGTTCTATGTTCTTTTTTTTATGTTCTAAATCTACTTGTTAAATGTACTTAGAGAGATCCTGTGCTTCAAGCACTGAAACCATTCAGAGATGAGCTCATACTTCACAACAAATAGATTGAGTAACAAACACCAGACCAATATAATCGGCTTGTTACACGTGATATTTGATTTTGGAGTGGAAGATAGTGGGCAGGAGTGACAGTCCAAACCAAAATTGAGTTGAAATGCTGCTTTATTTTCTTCTACTTTCCAGAACCAAAAGTAATCTTGTTTACTCATCCAGAAATACTGGCACACAAAGGCACCTGAGATTCAAGGGAGATTTCCATCTCCCACAAATGATCTTCAGAAAGAAGGCTGAGCGATACTCTTCGTAAACAGATGCCTCTGTGAATGTTTTCTTAAGCAGGAATAGTCATTAGTGATGGGAATGCAGAACAAAGATCCCTCTGCACTGTCTCCACCGCCCATTCCCACGACAGGTAGAGCACAGGATTAGATATAGAGTAAAATCTCCTTCTACACCGACACCATCAATAAGTCCCAGGACAGGGACCGATGATGTTAGATGCAGAGTAAAGCTCCCTCTCTTCTGTCTCCATCAAACACTCCCAGGACAAGTAGAATTATGAGAGACAGTTGAAGGATTCCACTGACACAGCCCCAGGTTCTGCTGGTCACCGGTGAGATAGGAGGCTTTCACAGTGACCTGTTGAGTTTCTCCAGCACTTAACTGTTTTTATTTCAGATCTCTAGCATCCACAGTGTTTTGCTTTTATTCAATTAATCAGGGATTCCTCTTCCCAATGGCATCCAGTGATCCTCCTTCAAAATGAGTGAAGGACAGCCTTACTCAACATCCTGTCATTTGGACGTGAAACTTGAATTTATTTTTGGTTCTTTCATGGAATTTAAGTGTCGATGACTGGGCCAGCATTTATTGTCCGTCCCTATTTGCCCTTGAGCAGATGGTAATAAGCTGATTGCTTGTAGACCATGTGATGTGGGAACACTCTTACTGCTATTGGAAATTCCAGGATTTTGACCTTCCTGCAAAAAGAGATGTGATATAACTGATAGTGGTGGAGATCAGCTCAAGTAAAGTGTGAATGTTACTGAACTAATAGGTGGTCTCATTGTTTTAAACACAGATCAATGCCTCCTTGGAAGAACAGGAATTTGTGGAAGCTTGGGCCGAGAAAGCAAAAGAATTTTACAACATCAAGGACAAGTTCAATGATGCAAGCTTGACGAAGATCATCAATAAAATTGGTGTCCTGGGCCCTGCAAATCTCCCACCTAATGAAAGGAAAAAGGTAATTTTCTGATTATGAAAACAGCCCTGTCATCTCAGGCTTCTGGTGGTTTCATTAATACCACAAATATATACTCCAAACGTCAGGGTCCTCTGCAAAACAAGCTAGAAATCAATGTTGTAAATACTCAGATATTGTAAGTGGATGTGTTTTCTGCTGGGTTTAGAAACAGTTGCTCCCTAAGAACATAAAATGTAGGAGTAGGTATCCCAGCCTCTTCAATACGCTCCACTCTTCACTACAGTCATGACTGACCTTCTGCCTCAATTCCATTTTCCTGCCCATTATACATATTGTTTGAATCTCTGGGACATCAAGCATCTGTCTATCTCAGCTTTGAATATATTTTCCCTTTGGTGTACAGAATCCCAACAATTCTGAGTGAAGAAATATTTTTTCTTCTCAATGCAAATTCTTTAGTTCCTAATGCCCCAGATTCCTCAACCAAGGAAAACAACAACTCAATGCCTATCAATGAAAGTACCTTCTTCCCAAAAAATTTGAGAGTAAAAAGTGATCCCAATCCTCAGGCTTACAAATTCTTTTGCTAACTTTATAAACATTTCACTTTGATTTAATACAATGTTTCACTTAACTCGCTGCACTCCATACTTCCAAGTCCAACCCCAATCTTGTTATCAAACCAGCTAAGCACCCACTCCCAGACACTCCCTCCTACCCCCCCGGATGATGACCCCACCACTGAACATCAAGCTGTAGTTTCCAGGACTGTCACTGACCTCATCTCCTCTGGAAATCACCACACCCACAGCTTCCCACCTCAGTTCCCCAACCCTGCACAGCCCACTTCTACCTCCTTCCCTAAATCCACAAACAGGACTACACTGACTGACCCATCATTTTAGTTCATTCCTGCCCCACTGAATTGATTTCTTCCTATCTTGACTCTAGTCCCTCCTCCCTTGTTCAGTCTCTTCCCACTTACTTCATGATTCTTCTGATGCTTTGCGTCAGTTCCACAATTTCCAGTTTTCTAGTACAAACAAATGGATGTGCAATCCCTCTATATGCCTGTTCCCCATCAGGATGATCAGAAAACTCACTGATTCTTCCCTGAAAAGAGGCCTGCACAGTTTCTGTCTATCACCACCCCCCTCTTGTTCTCATGTTGAACAATTTTGCCATTAACTCATTTCATTTTCTCCAAGTCAAAGGTGAGGCCCTGGCTATCTGCACAAGACACAGTTGTGGCTCTCTCTTGTGGGGCATGTGGAATATTCTGTGTACCAGTCCTACCCACCTACAACTCTTTCTCCGGTACATCGAAGAGATCTTTGGTGCTGCTTCCTGATCTCATCAGAAGTGGATAAATTTATCAGTTTTGCTTCCAATTTCCATCCTTCTCTTGCCTTAATCTGGTCCATCTCTGACTCCTCTCTTCCCCTCCTTGACATCGCTGTTTCCATTTCTGAGGATAGGCTGGCTACCCAAATCCATTGCAAACCTAATGACTACCACAGTTACTTTGACTATAAATCCTCATGCCCTGCCTCCTATAAGGATTCCATTCAATTCTCCCAGTTTTTCCATCCCCATTACGTCTGCCATGATGCCACCTTCAACCGGTCGCCTCTGACATGACCTCCTTTTTCCTCAACTGAGAATTCCCCACCCCTCCCCATTGTGGTTTAGCCATAACTAACCCATATTCAACACTTTCACCCTCATCCTTTCCCTCTCTTTCCCAGAGCAATGGTAGGGTTCCCCTTGCCCTTACTTTCCACTCTACTAGACTCCATATTCAAAGGATCATCCTCTGTCATTTCTGCCACATTCAGTAGGATGCCACCTCCAAACACATCTTCCCCTCCCTTCCACTGTCAAGATCCCATAGGGACTATTCCCTCCATGCTACTCTGGTCCACTCATCCATCCTTCCTAACATGTTATCTAGACAACCCCCACCCCCCCCCCCCTCCCTCATCCCCCATAGGCACCTTTCCATATGATCACACAAATTATAATACTTGTCCATTCACCTCCTCCATCCTCACTGTTCAAGGCCCCAAGCACATTTTCCAGTCAAGCAGCATTTCACTTGTATTTCTTCCAATCCAATCTGCTACATTTGCCATTCACTGTGCAGTCTCCTTTACGTTGGTGAGACCAAACACTTTGTGGAACACCTCCGCTCTATCCTTAAGAATGACCCTGACCTCCCATTTGCTTACCATTTCAATAAAGTACCTTGCTATCATGCTAGCATTCCTGTCCTGGGCCTGTTACAATGTTCCAACAAAATACAACACATGCTTGAGGAACAACAAATCACTTTCTGCTTAGGTACTTTACAGCCTTGAAGTCTCAATATTGAATTCAGACTGCGTACTGTCTATTCCCCATTTTTTTAATGTTCTCTGCCCCAAACAGCCTTGTCTTGTTCATGTCTTGTTTACTTTGCTTACAGTAGAGAGGTCCTTTCACACCATATTTTACACCCATTTTACATCATTCTTTCTCCACCAATATGAGCAACCTCTTTTTTTTGACCATTTTGCTATTATTACATAGTCTTCTCTTAATCAGCACGGTTGGATCACATTTTCTTTTTCATGATTTTCATGGCTCAATGAAATTTAAATTTATTGTAACTCAGGTATTAATCCTTGGAGTGCTAGCCATTTTTTGTACACTGTCGTACCTTTGAATGGACTTTCCCAAACCAGCACAACCAACATGTGCATCAAACCTTTCTGGTTTCCTTTGTTAAAATCGAAGATCCTATTTTCTGTTTGAAATACATCACTTTATGGAAAGTTCTATAATTTTATGGCCACAGTTCTCAGTTTTGGGAGTAACATATTAACATGAATAGAGAATTGGCTAAGTAACAGGAAACAGATTCAGGATAAATAGGTTGCTTTCAAATTGGCAAACTGTAACTTGAGGAATCCCACAGGGATCTGTCTTAACTAACTATGTTGATATTAATAGCTCATATGAAGTATTGGACTGCATTGTAGCCAAATTGCCTGATGATCCAAGGACAGATGGAAAAGTAGGACTGAGTTGGCTCAAGGGACTGTGTTTTCAGCATGGAGTCAGGAACTAGGAATTGGACCCTTTCCCAATGGCATGACCCTACCTCCTAGCTGGCAGTGTCTACCAAAAGATCTACATGGGGGTGAAACAGGCATGGGGTGAGATTGAGAGCTGCTCCTGCTGCAGCAAGCCTAAGGTGTAGACAGAGGCAGGCAAATGCCAATTCAGTCAGATTAAACAGACCCCATCCCTTCATTGGAACATTAGCCCAGCTCTGGAGATTAGTGTGAGGCCCATTAACCCTCACCCGCTAATGCCACTCACCTCCATTACTCTACTCTCTAATACCACATTCCTCCCAACACCTCCATATTCACTTGGCCCTACATGACACCTCACACCCATAAGAGATTCAGAAGAGATTTTCCAGGATGTTGTCTGAAATGGAGAGTTTGAGTTATAAGGAGAGGCTGGGACTTTTTTCACTGGAGCGTAGGAGGTTGAGAGGTGACCTTATAGAGGTTTATAAAAAAATGAGGGGTATAGATAAGGGCAGGTTAATTTTCCCTCAGGTGGGAGATTTCAAGACTATGGAGCGTATTTTTAAGATGAGAGGAGAAAAAAGGCATGAGGGGCAATTTTTTTACACAGAGGGTGGTTCATGTGTGGATTGAACTTCCAGAGGAAGTGATGGATGTGGGTACAGTTACACTGTTTAAGAGACATTTGGATATGTAGATGAATAAGAAATGTTTGGAGGGATATGGGCCAAGCGTAGGCAGGTGGGACTAGTTTAGTTTGGGATTGTGTTCGGGATGGACTGGTTGGACTGAAGGGTTTGTTTCCATGCCGTATGACTCTATGACTCTATAACATACATAATAGTATATGAGTTAGGAGTAGAAGTAGAACATTCAGCCTTCAATCCTACTCCAGGTTTCAATATGATGATGGTTGATTTGTTTGTGTACGTATTCATCATAGATCATCATCATAGAATCATCATAGAATCCCTACAGTGTGGAAATAGGCCCTTCGGCCCAACAAGTCCACACCGACCCTCAGAGCACCCCACCCAGACTCATTCCCCATAACCCACCTGCATATCTGCACATCCCTGAACACAATGGGCAATTTAACATGTTCTATATTTCCATTTTGTGCCTAATAAATGTTGATTCCTTTGCCTAACAATGAATCTATCTATTTGCACCTCAAACTATTTAATAATCCTACCTAAACAGCCTTTTGAGGCAGTGAGCTCCAAAGTCATACAATTGTCTGAGAGAAGAATTGATTTCTTCCTATCTTGACTCTACTGCCTCCTCCTTTTATCAGTCTCTTCCCCCTTATATTCGTGATCCTTCATTATTTTAGACTCCAATGCACATAAGCCTAACCTGCTCAACCGTTCCTGATAAGAAAATCCGTCCATACCCAGGATCAACCTAGTAAACCTTCTCTGGACTGACACCAATGCCAACGTTTCTTTCCTTTGATAAGAAGACCAAAACTTTTCAGAGATAGTAAGAACTGTCGATGCTGGAGTCTGAGATAACACAGTGTGGAGCTGGATGAACACAGCAGGCCAGGTAGCATCAGAGAAGCAGGAAAGCTGACGTTTCGGGTTGGGACTCTTCTTCAAAAAACTATTCAGAGTTTTCCAGCTGTAATCTAACTAACGCCTCGTTTAGTTTTAGCCAAACTTGACTATTTTTATACTCCATTCCCTTTGAAATAAAGGCCAACATTCCATTTGCCTTCCCTATTACCTGCTGGACTTGTATGCTAAATTTTTGTGATTCGTAACACAAGGACTCCAAGAAATGGTTGAGCACGTTGAGCTTATACTCATTGACGTTTGGAAGAATGAGAGGTGATATTACTGAAATATGAAAGATTCTGAGAGGGTTTGTCGGGGTAAATGCTGAGAAGGTGTTCCCTCTGATGGAGAAATGTAGAATTGGAGGACACGGGTTCAAAATAAGGTCCCCCTTGTTTCAAGGTGGAGATGAGCAAGAATTTCTTCTCTCAAAGAATGCAAATCTTTGGAATTCATTGCCCCAAGTCATTGACTATATTCAAGGTTTAGATTGACAGGCTTTTGAACAACATGGGTGTCGATGTTTATGGGGAACAGGCGAGAAAATGGATTTAAGGGAAAGAGCAGATCAGCCAATGATGAAGCAGTTTTAATGGGTTTAATGGTCTGCTCTCGTTTTTATTTCTTCAATTCTTATAACATACTAAGAGTCTGTACTGAATGATTTAATAACTATTGATAGCCATAAATACCAGTCACATCAAGAAGCCCTGTAGCTGTAGCTCTGTAATCCTTATCATGTGTTCCAACCAGATTGACAAGCACTTTCCTGTCCTTGCAACATCACAAAATGTTTTGTAGCTGATTACTTTTCAAGTATCATTATTGTTAAAGAAGCAAATGGAACAGTTAACCAACACCAATTTGCCATACACAGAAAATTCAATACTCTGTTTTTAATGGAGTTGATTTGTGGGAGGAATATTGGCTGGGACATATGGAAATGTCCTTGACTTCCTTCAAGGAGTGCCTTGAGATCTTTTACTTTGGTATAAGGCGCTGACTGGATTACAGTGAAGTATCTTATCAAAAGCACAGCCCCTCTGGCAGTACAGTACTCTCTTAGTACTGCACTGGAAGGATAACCTAGATTACATGTTGGATTGGGTCTTGAACTCATACCTTTCTGACTCAGATGAAAGAGTTATACTGATGTATGATGGAAGCTTCAGCAAGAAAGCTTCGAGTCTGGTGTTTGTCCAGCATTAACTCAGGAAAATGAGTGAAGGTACATTTCAGAAACATACCCATAAATTTGTGGGCTCATTTGGTCCATATAATTGTAGCAGCACAGAAGCTAGTGGAGGTCAAATGACATGGATTTCTGTACTTATTTCCTGTCTATAATGACCTGGGAACATTCATGTTTGTGGCTCCACTCTGCCTCCTGCCGGTGATCTATGGCTCTTCCCTTAGGAGTGGAAAGTGTTGATCAATTTGTGTTTCTTTACAGTACAACACCATCCTGAGTGAAATGGACAACATTTATTCCACTGCTAAGGTGTGTCCACCAAATCAACAGACCTACTGCTGGTCTCTCGAACCTGGTAAGTCGAGTAGGGCATGAAGTGAGGGGCTATAATGTGAGAAGAAATATTGAACAGACTCACCACTGTGTGCACATATGGTGCCCCGAAGTGAGTATCCTCCTACACACCTTGGGAGCAGACTAATGTACTCACTTCTCTACTTTCATTTTTAGGCTGAGGGTGCCAATCTGCTGGAATACACACATTGGGAAGGAAGTTTCAGTAAGGATTATGGGATATAGGCTGAGTCTTCCAGTGTTTCAATCCTTGATCCAAAAGACAGCTGCTGGTAAATCTTGATCAAGAAGCGTACTGAGATGGAAGACAGGCAGTAACTGGATTGAATAACTCATCACGTAGTACAGACATGAGGGGCAAAATGGGTAGTGGAGTGATATTTCCGAAGATAAGGAGCTATGAGAAGGGTATTGAGTGGAATGTTCCAGTTATAATGTGCATTGTTGAGTGTCCATAAGATGTGCCCACATCTGGCAGTGCCAAGAAGTACAAAATTAAGCATGGTCTCTAATTTTGGAGACATGAATTACAGGATAGGACACTCAAAGATTATCTGGACCCCATTGTCGATTGTGACATTTATAATGAAGAGAGGGAAATGACAGAAAAATAACTAAAAAAAATACAGAAAATATCCGGGAAATACTAGGAGACCAAGGGATCTGTAGAATATAGAAACTTCAATAATTTAGGATTATGAAAGTGGTAAAAAGAAGTTGACTGGAGAATTTAACAGGATTGGAAGCTGATAAATCCCTTGGAACAGATATGTTTCATCCCTGAGTGTTGAAGGTGATGACTAGAAAGATAATGGTAGCATTGCTGGTAATCATTCAAAATCCTATAGATTCTAGAAAGGAACAAAAACAAATTTGCTGTAAAAGCTCAGCAGGTCTGGCAGCATCTGTGAAGGAGAAAACAGAGTTAACGTTTTGAGTCTGGTCACGGCAGTTCTTTTCGTTTTTATTTAGATTCTAGAAAGGTTTCTGTAAGCTGGGGAGCAGCAAATCTAACCCCAATACTTAAGAAGGGAAAAAGAAAGAAAATGGACAACTACAAACCTGTTCATTGGACTTCCGTAATAAGAAAAATGTTGGCAACAGCCATAAAGGATATGATAACTTGACATTTGAAGAGAATAGTAAAACTGCGCAGTGTTAATATGGATTTATGACAGAAAAACATCAATTGTTATGGAGTCATACAGCAAACCCTTTGGTCTAACCAGTTCATGCAAACCATAATCCCACCTGTGCTTGGCCCATCCCTCCAAACATTTCTTATTCATGTACGTATCCAAATGGATTTTACAGATAGTTCTCTTATAACGCAATAGTTGCATTCTTGCACGACCTCGCATTATAGGGAAATTGCTATAGAAAATCATGATACCTATACAGCAGAAAGTTTGTGTTCTACTAACAGCGTCCACTATTCATCAATGGTGTTACAGCCAATTCTCATTAACGAAACACGCGTTATAGCAGAACTACCTGTAAATGTTACTCGCATCCAACACTTCCTCTGGAAGTTCATTTCACACAGGAACCACTCTCTGTGTTAAAAAAATTGCCTCTCATGTCTTTTGTAAATCTTTCTCCTCAGTTTAAAAATATGACCCCTAGGCTTAAAATCCCCCACCCTAGGGAAAAGACATCTGCAATTTACTTTATCTATAACCCTCATGATTTTGTAAAACTCTATAAGGTCACCCCTCAATTTCCAGTGAAAAAATTCTAGTCTTTCCCGCTTCTCCTTATAACTCAAACCCTCCATTCCCAGCAACATTCTGATAAATCTCCACTGAACCCTCTCCAGCTTAGTAATATCAAAGACCACACGACACCAGGTTATAGTCCAACAGGTTTATTTGAAAACACTAGCTTTTGGAACGTAGCCCCTTCATCAAGCTAAGTTCCAAAAGCTTGTGGTTTCAAATAAACCCATTGGACTATAACCTGGTGTCGTGTGATTTCTGACCTTGTCCACCCCAATTCAAAACTGGCATCTCCATCTCACAGCTTAATAATACCCTTCCTATAACAGGGTGACTGTTAGAAAGATTTTGGCTTCTTGAAGATGTTACTTGCAGCATTGGTAAGGGAATATAAATGGACGTGGTGTATTTAGAATTTCAGAATGTTTTTGATTAGGTCCCACACACGAAGCTGGCAAATAAAATTAAAGTGTATGGGATTACTGGAAAGGTATTAGTATGATTTTGAGAAATAGTTAACAGACTGAAAGCAGACAGTATGAATGAGTGAATCATTCTCAGATGGAAGGCTGCGAATAGTGAGATATCACAAGAGTGAGTGCTAGGCTCACAGCTCTTCACAATCTTTCTCGAAGATTTGGATGTGGAGATCAATTGTAATATTTCCAAATTTGCTGATGGCAATAAATTAGTTGGGAAAGTGAGCATCCATCCTGTTTCTGGATGAAATCCTTTCCATCCTTGGATCACATTGAGTTGATGGAGCAAATGGCCATTCTGTTAAAGAGTAGGTAGCCTCCATTCTTCTTAAGATGATGCAAGGAGCCTCCAAGGCTAAGTGAATGGACCAAGACATGGGTAGGTGGAATATAATGTAAATACATGTGAAGTTATTCACTATAGTAGAAATAACAGAATTCAAAATATTTCTTTTATGGTGACAGGTTGGGAAGTACAGGCATCCAGAGGGATTTGGATGTTCTTGTTGATGAGTTGCCAAAGGTTTCCATGAATATGCAGCAAGCATTAGCAAGGCAAACACAATGTTGGTATTCATTGCAAGGAGATTTAAAGACAAGGTAAAGCTGCAGTCATTTACAGCTTTGATTATACATAACCTTTGGCATTATATGCAGTTTTGATCTCCTTATCTAAGGAGGGTAGCAAAAGAGAATGCAATAGAGGTACATCAGATTAATCCCTGGAATAGTGAAATTGCTTTATGAGAGAAGATTGAGGAAGCTGGACTTGGATTCTTTAGAAGTTCAAAGATTGAAAGATAATCGCGTTTGAAACTTACCAAATTCTAACAAGACGTAACAGGAAGGAAGTAGATAAGGAAGTTTCTGAAGAAGGGTCTAGGCCCAAAACATCAGCCTTCCTGCTCCTCTGATGCTGCTTGGCCTGCTGTGTTCATCCAGCTCTACACCTTTTTATCAAGGAAGTAAATAAGGTGTTTCCTCTGGCTGGTGAGAGTTAAACCAGGAGTCATTTTTAGGCTAAAGAGATAGGGTCTTTCAGATTCACATGAGGAGGAATTTGTTCACTCAGGACAGTGGTGAATCTTTGGAATTCTCTACTCCAGAAGTCTCCAGAAGCTGAACCATCAAGCAGGTTTCAGATATAAATCAATAGATTTCTGGAGTTTAAAGACATCAAGTGACATAGAGATTTAGGAAGGCAACTGGCATTGAGGAGATAGATGCTCAGCCATGATCTAGAATGGTGAGGCTGGTTTGATGGGCTGAGTGGCCTACTCCTCTTCCTTCTTCTCCAATTTTTTGAGCTTGAAGAAACCAGGACTGCCATGTTCTGCATGTTGCTGCTATTGTTTTGTCAGTTAATTTAGGGATTTTGAAGATGTTACCTGTAGCATTAGTAAAGGAGTATAAATGGATGTAGTGTATTTAGAATTTCAAAACATTCTCAATAAGGTCCCAAGCAGGAAGCTGGTAAATAAAATTAAAGTGTATGGAATTAGTGCAAAGATATTACAATGGATTGAGAAATGGTTGACAGACAGAAAGCAGAGTGTAGGAATAAATAGATCCAGTCAGTCTCATTTACACACTCAGTTCCTATCATCCTTTGAGTTAATTTCCCTGAAATGTCCATGTAATTTCTTATTGAAATAATTGATCATTTTCCACTTCCACCACCCTAGCTGACAGTGAGTTGCAGATAATCACTCAGTGTCTGAAAGGGTTTTTCTTCACAACCCTTGTATCACCAGACTCAATATTTCTTGGTGAAATATCCTGACTGATAGACAGCTGGTTAATACCAGACTCTCTTTACCATCCTAATGGGTGTTTGAAATGACCTCAACCTCACTTGACAGTCAGTATGATGTGACAATGTCAGGTTTTTATTCATTTAAATGTTGAGGGGAAAAAGATTCAAAAGGGACATAAGGGACAACTTTTTCATGTAGTGGGTGGTATGTGTTTGGAACGAGCAGCCAGAGGAAGTGGTGGAGATTGGTACAATTACAACATTTAAAAGGCAAATAGGACTAGATTAATTTAGGATATCTGGTGAGCATGGACAAGTTGGACCAAAGGTTTTATTTCTGTGATTCAATGACTCTACTCCTCTTGGAATATTGGGGATGGAGAAGCATCTGAGGAACTGTACACAGAAACTATGGGAATGAAAGAGAAAGCTGAGCCGCCTCAAAATGTAAAAGTGTTTAATTACTTTGCTCCTTTTTCTCTCTGGTCCTCTAACAGTGGTCTTTCCCAAGACTTAATTTCTGATACTCCATCATTCCAGTGTTTATGATTCATTCCTCTGGATCCCATATCCACTTCCTTCACATATTTCAAAAGGCTCCATAGAACCGAGGCTCATATTTTCCACCATCACTCCTCTATCCCTCTGCCCACCCCAACAAAATCTTCCTGACTGCTCAGAATCTATGTATTTGGAAAACACTAGATTCCAGATGCTCTTCCCAAGTGAGCACCAGTGAGCAGAATAATTGTTATCAGAACTGGAAGAATTGCCCCACTGTCATTGGGACAAAGATATTCTAATGGGGCAGATTTCAGAGAGCTCTAAATCTCGTTCATGCAATCCCTGTCCTGGGAGTATTTCATAGGGACTGTGTAGATGGACCTTTACTCTGTCTAACCCTGCGCTGCCCCTGTCCTGGGAGTGTTTGATGAAAACAGTGTAGGGAAAGCTTTACTATGTATCTAGCCCCATGTTGTCCCTGTCATGGAGTGTTTGATGAAGATAGTGTAGGGTGGACTTTACTCTGTATCTAACAAAAATGTACTCTGGGTGGGGGATTTCAATGTCCACCACCAAGAGTGGCTCAGCAGCAGTATTACTGATCGAGCTGGTCGGGTCCTAAAGGACGTAGCTGCAAGACTGGGTCTGCGGCAGGTGGTGAGGGAACCAACAAGAGGGAAAAACATACTTGACCTCATCCTTACTAATCTGCCAGCTGCAGTTGCATCTGTCCACGACAGTATCGGTAAGAGTGACCATCGCACAGTCCTTGTGGAGACGAAGTCCCGCCTTCACATTGAGAATATCCTCCATCGTGTTGTGTGGCACTATCACCATGCTAAACAGGACAGACTTCACACAGATCTAGCAACTCAAGACTGGGCATCCATGGTGTGCTGTGGGCCATCAACAGCAGCAGAATTGTACTCCAGCACAATCTGTAACCTCATGGCCTGGCATATCCCCCACTCAACCATTACCATCAAGCCAGGGGATCAACCCTGGTTCAATGGAGAGTGCAGGAGGGCATGCCAGGAGCAGCACCAGGCAAACCTGAGGATGAGGTGTCAACCTGGTGAAGCCACCAAACAGGACTACTTGCACACCAAACAGCAAAAGCAGCAAGTGATAGACAGAGCTAAACGATCCCACAACCAACAAATTAGATCTAAGCTCTGCAGTCCTGCCACATCCAGTCGTGGACGATGGTGGACAATTAAGCAACGCACTGGAGGAGAAGGCTCCATAAATATCCCCATCCTCAATGATGGAAGAGCCCAACACATCAGTGCAAAAGATAACACTAAAACTTTTGCAGTAATCTTCAGCCAGAAATGCTGAGTGGATGATCCATCTCGGCCTCCTCCAGTGGTCCCCAGCATTACAGATACCAGTTTTTAGCCAATTCGATTCACTCCACGTGATATCAAGAAACGGTTGGAGACACTGGATACTGCAAAGGCTATGGGCCCCGACAACATTCCGGCAATAGTACTGAAGACTTGTGCTCCAGAACTTGCTGCTTCCCTGGCCAAGCTGTTCCAGTGCAGTTACAACACTGGTATCTATGCAGCAATGTGGATAATTTCCCAAGTATGTCCTGTACATAAAAGGAAGGACAAATCCAACCTGGCCAATTACTGCCCCATCAGCCTACTCTCGATCATCAGGAAAGTGATGGAAGTTGTCATCAACAGCGCTATCAAGCAGCACCTGCTCAGCAATAACCTGCTCAGTGACGCCCAGTTTGGGTTCTGTCAGGGTCACTCAGCTCCTGACCTCATTACAGCCTTGGTTCAAACATGGACAAAAGAGCTGAATTCCAGAGGTGAGGTGAGAATGATCATCCTTGACATCAAGGCTGCATTCGACTGGGTATGGCATCAAGGAGCCCTAGCAAAACTGGAATCAATGGATATCAGGAGACAAACTCTGCTGTGGTTAGAGTCATTACCTGACACATACAAAGATAATCGTGGTTATTGGAGGTCAATCATCTCAGCTCCAGGACATCTCTGCAGGAGTTCCTCAGGGTAGTGTCCTCGGCCCAACCATCTTCAGCTGCTTCATCAATGACCTTCCCTCCATCAAAAGGTCAGAAGTGGAGATTTTCGCTGATGATTGCACAATGTTCAGCATCATTCGCAACTCCTCAGATAATGAAGCAGTCCATGTTCAAAAGATCTGGACAATATCCAGGCTTGGGCTGACAAGTGGCAAGTGACATTCACGCCACATAAATGCCAGGCTATGACCGTCACGAATAAGAGACAATCTAACCACCGCTGCTTGACATTCAATGGTGTTACCATCATTGAAACCCCCACTATCAATATCCTGGGGGTTGTCATTGACCAGAAACTCAACTGGACTCACCACATAAACACAGTGGCTACAAGAGCAGGCCAGAAGCTGGGAATACTGTGGCGAGTAACTCACCTCCTGGCTCCTCAAAGCCTGTCCACCATCTACAAGGCACAAGTCAGGAGTGTGATGGAATACTCCCCACTTGCCTGGATGGGTGCAGCTCTAACAACACTCAAGAAGCATTGACGCCATCCAGGACATAGCAGCATATTTGATTACGACTACATCCACAAGCATTCATTTCCTGCACTACCAACACTCCGTACCTACAAGATGAACTGCAGAAATTCACCAAAGATCCTCAGACAGCACCTTCCAAACCCACAACCTCTTCCATCTAGAAGGACAAGGACAGCAGATACATGGGAACACCACCACCTCCAAGTTCCCCTCCAAATCACTCACCATCCTGACTTGGAAATATATCGCTGTTCCTTCACTGTGGCTGGGTCAAAATCCTGGAATTCCCTCCCTAATAGTATTGTGGGTCAACCAACAGCAGGTGGACAGCAGCGGTTCAAGAAGGCAGCTCACCACCACCTTCTTAAGGGCAACTAGGGACGGGCAATAAATTCTGGCCAGCCAGCGACGCCCTCATCCCAAAAATGAATCGATAAAAAATCCCCTGCTATCCAAGTCCTGGGAGTGTTTGATGGGGACAGTGTAGAGAGTTTAACTTTGTACATAATCCCATTCTGGACCTGTTCGGGGAGTGCTTGATGGGAACAGTGTATGGAGATACTGCTCTAACACTGTCAGGAGAAGGTGTGGGTGTAGTGGTATAGTAAGTGGACTGGTAACCCAGACACGTAGGTAATACTCTAGGTTCAAATCCATGACCACTACTATCTCGAGAAACAAGGACAGTAGATAAATAGGAATGTCACCACCTGCAAGTTCCCCTCAAATGTCATTCATTATCCTGACTTGGAAACATAACACCATTCCTTCTGGCTTGAAAATCCTGGAACTCTGTCCGTCCCAGCATTGTGATGTACCTACTTCATAATGACTGCAGCCATTCAAGAAGGCAGCTCGCAACCACCTTCTCAAGGGCATCTCAAGGGATGGGTAATAAATGCTGTCCCAAACATTCCCAGATACCTACATCTCATGAATGAATAAAAGCAATTAATACAAAAAAAAAGTGCTCTACCTGCCCTGAGGAGTGTTTGATGGGACATTAAATGGTGAACTTTATATTGTTGTGTTGTACTTGCTGTACTTGCCCTGGAAGTATGTGAATGGACATTGGTTGCCTGAATGAGGGAGTATTTCTTTATCCAATGCAAACAATGTGACTTTGATGTATGTGTCTATCTTCTGACATCCTCTCAATGCTCTAACTACATGTCTGTGGTGTTCCAGATCTTGTGGATCTATTGGCAGCATCTCGGAGTTACAAAAAGCTGCTGTATGCCTGGGAAGGTTGGCACAATTCCGCAGGAAATCCACTAAGAGACAAATACACAGAATTTGTGAGAATGAGTAACAAAGCTTCTCAAATGGATGGTAAGTGACTTTACCCAAATGACGCGGATCTCATGTAACAATCAGATCAAGATGACCATCTCCCAGGAGCGGCCTGATAAAATCTATTGTAGTCACACTGAAAATAATGGATCCAAGGTGGTTCCTTACTGCAAGCACTAATTTTTTTTAAATGATTTTCTCTTGCATAGTTCATCCCTGCCTCTTACTGTTGTTAAGAGAGGATGTCTACACATACGGCCCATGAGAGGGTGTTGCAGAATTCCTCCCATGAGTACATTGGCTGAGTAGCCTGTCAAACTGTATCCATCCTTCATGGCCCTTCACAAGCCCTAGACCAGACTATGTGCATTTATCCACACTCCATGGTGCTATACACCCATTCCAATCTATCCAGCTCCCATGCCTCTCATACCCTAATGCTGCAAATCATCTCCATGACCCTTTGAAGCCTCTGTTTCAACTCAGTGCCAACTCATGCACTCTACCAACCACACTTTTCTTTTCCCTTCCATAGCTTTTCACCTATAATCCAGCATGGGCATACTCATGGGGCTTCCTGACATAAAGCAAAGTTGTAAGCTTATTGGTGATGTCTCTATGTAAACACAAAAGCATTCATTTTATTTTAAAAGACCCAATACATTGGAATTTCTTCAATGAAACCCTTATAGAAACAAACATTTCACTTAAGTACTCAAAAACTTACAAAGAAAAAAATTTAACTCATATACTCCGTCCATCATGTCAAAGATTATTTCCATTCAATAGCAGCTGGAGTTGTTCATCAAAAGGCACTCCTTTCCGGAAACTATCAAAAGAAATTTATCTTGCAATGCACAATCCTAGATACTTTGAAATAGCCAGCATTGAATTTTAACTTTTCCCATTTAGTTGGACAGTTTCAATTTTGCCAATCCTCTTATGACTTTGTGTACTCTTCATGCACAAACACACTATTACCTAAATTGAAAGGGTACATACTCCAACAAAAGTATCCCAATGGAGGGCCTTCCTTCTCTGAAAGGTGACTAATATGAAACATTTCTCCATCCCTCAACTTTTAGATGCCTTCCATCCTCCTCAGCCCCACACACTGCCCATGTCCAACCCATGCTAATACATGCAACCTCATTTCTTCTACCTATCCCTCATGGATCCCACATCCCCATGCCAACTTAGTGCTTACCTCTATTCATCACCCTTTCCTCCTCTACTTACTGTACCAACTCATTGAGCATTCACAACTACCCATAGGAGAAAAAAATATAGTTCTATTACTTAAATTTCTATTTTATGGACTACACTGTATTGAAAAATCACTGTCATTCATAAATAAACATTTTGACACTTCTTAACATTTATTGACACTTTTTGACAGTCAACATTTGTGAGCAGGTTTGACAACTTGGACAGTTCCAAGGGTTATATGAACCTTTGACACATAATCTACTGCCCAGTTAGTAGTCCCAAAGGGCATCTGACCCCTTCCTTCAAAGGATACCTGACTCACCTCCGCAAAAATAATCTATGAACTCACTCCAAAAGTGTCCTGGGATCACATCCACAGGGGTATTTACCTCGGCTCTCCAAAGAGGTTCCCTGCCCACACAAAATAAATACACTGCAACCCAACTCTAATAATGTGACTTAATCTCCACAATCCAGATTGCAGATACCAGGAATTCCCAAATCCTATTTCAGTGAAGTCATCAATTCATCTATATGGTCAACCATATAGATGCCCCCATGAGAATGAAAAATGCCAGCTTCAGGGACATGGCTTGGGATTCCTGACATTTTCCAACAATTTTCTCTGCAACAGAGGCACCATCTATTGTAGGAAAAGTTAGGGCTCGTCCATCCATTTCATCGTTTTAAATGATAAACATGTTCAACACCAATTTAAATCATTCTGCTTCTTGTACAGGCTCTGGAATCCCATCCTAAAATTTTTCACCCCTCTCCCTGTCCTCTTTTAAGAAGACTCTATTAATACCAACTTCTCTGCCTAAGTTTTGCTTACCTGTGCTATTACCTCTTCATGTTGCTCATTGTCAACATGATGACTGTCCCTTAAAACATTTTGGAACATTTAAATTAAGTGAATAGCATTGTATAAATGCAAATTGTTCTCATGGAATGAAACCATGCTCAGCCTTGTAGTGACACTCAATTGGCTTTGTTTGCAGGGTTTAATGACACAGGAGCATACTGGAGATCATGGTATGAGTCACCAACATTTGCAGATGATCTTGAGAAGATCTATGACCAGCTCAAACCACTGTACAATAACCTTCATGCCTTTGTGAGGAGAAAGTTATATCAGATATACGGACCCAAATACATCAATCTGAAAGGACCGATACCTGCACATCTATTGGGTAATTGGTAACAAATTTAAATATTTCACATGAGATAACAAGGTGTAGAGCTGGATGAACACAGCAGGTCTAGCAGCATCAGAGGAGCAGGAAAGCTGACATTTCGGGTCTGGACCCTTCTTCAGAAATGAAGATCGCTTCTGAATTGATTTGAAGTTTAAGCAAACCTTCCAATTGTTTAGAAGTCCCCAAAGATGAAGCATTAAGATACGAAGGGAGCTCTGAGCCACAACCTGGAAAAGCATTATAGGGCAAAATATTGCTGTTGAGTTGAAAGTCAATGCATAAAATTATAAGAGACAAGAAGGATTGCAGATGCTGGAAGCCAGACTCTATAGGTGTGAGCTGGAAAAGCACAGCAGGTCAGACAGCATCTGAAGAGCAGGGAAGTCAATGTTTCGGGCTGAAACACTTCATCTGGACTTGGGAGGGAGAGGGGAGCCCAAACATAAATAGAGGAACGGGGGTGGGGCTGGTGGAAGTGTAGGAGAGATGATGATAAGTGGATGCAGGTAGGGGGTTATTGTGATTGGTCTGTGGGAAGGGTGGAGCAAATAGGTGAGTAGGAAGATGGACAGGTTAGGTCAGGTCAAGAGGGAAGGGGCTAGACATGGAATAAGGCTGAGGGTGGGGGGGTTTTGAAGCTGGTGAAGTCAATGTCAAGGCCATTGGGCTGTAAGCTTCCAAGCCGAAATGTCAGGTATATATTGATACTCTTAGAGTGGACGAGGCCAAGGATGGACATGTCATCAGGGGAGTGGGAGGGGGAGTGAAAATGGATGGCAACAGGAAGGTCGGGTTGGTTGGCACAGTCGCTCCACAAACCAGTCCCTGTGTCTGCGTTTGTTCCCCGTGATGTAAAGGAGACCACATCGGGAGCAATGGATACAATAGATCAGGTTGGATGAAGCGCAGGTGAATCTCTGCCAGATTGGGAAGGATTGTTTGGGGTCTTGGACGGAGGTGAGAGTGGAGAGTGTAGGGGCAGGTCTTGTACCTCTTGCGGTTGCAGGAAAAGGTATCGGGTGTGTGGAGGATTTGGTGGGGTGTGTAAAGCTGACGAGGGAGTCATGGCATGAACAGTCCCTGCAGATAGTAGACAGCGGTGGGGAAAGAAACATGTTTTTGCTGGTGGGGTCTGATTGTAGGCGATGGAAATGTTGGAGGATGATGCGTTGGATTCGGAGGTTGGTGGGGTGGAATGTGAGGACTAACGGGACTCTATCCTTATTGTTGTTGCGGGGAGGGGGTTTGAGGGCAGAAGTGTGGGAAATGGAGGAGATGTGGTTGAGGGCATCCTTAATTATAGAGGAGGGGAAACTACAGACCCTAAAGTAGGAGGATATTTGGGATGTCCTGGAGTAGAATGCCTCATCCTGGGAGCAGATGCAGTGGAGGTGGGGGAATTAAGATAGCATTTTTGCAGGAGGGAGGGTGAGAGAAGGTGTAATTAAGGTAGTTGTGGGAGTCAGTGGGTTTGAAATGGATGTCGGCGGTGAATCAATTTCCGGAAATGGGGACGGAGAGGTCCAGGTAGGGGAGGGAAGTGTCAGAAATAGTCCAGGTAAGTTTGAGGGCACAGTGGAAGATGTTGGCAAAGTTGATGAACTGCTCGAGCTCCTCACGGGAGCACGAGGCAGTGCTGATACAGTCATCAATATAGTGGAGAAAGATGAGGGATGGTGCTGGTGTAGTAGTTGAAGAGGGACTGTTCTGTGAATCCTACAAAGAGGCAGGATCAGCTCGGGCCCATGCAGGTGCCCATGGCCACCCCTTTGGTTTGTAGGGAGTGGGAGGAATGGAAGGAAAAATTGTTCAGGGTGAGGATCAGTTCAGCTAAGTGAATGACAGTTTCAGTGGAGGGTGTCTGTTTGGGCCTACAGGAGAGGAAGAATCGGAAGACTTTTAAGCTCTCCATATGGGGAATACAGGTGTACAGGGACTGTACGTCCATGGTGAAGATGTTGGGAACTGGGAATTGAAAGTTTTGGAAAAGATAGAGGGCATGGGTTGTGTAAGTAGGGAGTTCCTGGACCAAAGGGGAAAGAAATAGCATTGTATAAGTTGTCTAAATAAGGTATCCCAATAGAGGAAGGAGTCCAGCCGAGGGAAACAACCTCTCAGCAACTACTCTGTGGCACATTCTTAGAAATACCTACTTTAATGAAATCCCCTTCCATTTTCACCACAATGCAAACGTATGATTTTGGAGTAGAGATCATCATTCCCCGCTCAAACCTGCTCCACCATTTAGTAAGATCCAGGCTATTCTGATTATGGCCTCAAGTCCGCATTCCCATCTAACCCCAATAGTCTTTGTCTCTTTTGTTAGTCAAGAACCTATTTATCTCTGCCTTTGCTTTCACCACCGTCCAGAGCAGTGAGTTTCTCAGACTCATGCCCTCACAAAGCAAAAGATTCTTTTAATACTCACCTGGTCAAGTGCCTTCAGGAGTGTGTATATTCTAGATCCCCTCTCATTCTTCTAAACTGCAGTGGATATCATAGAATCCCTCCAGTGTGGAAGTGGGCCAAAATGTCCACATCCACCCTTCCAAAAACATCCTACCCAGACCTCCTCCCCTAACATATCCCTGTAATCCTGCATATCCCATGGCCCATCCACCTATCCTGCACATGCTATGGGTAATTTAGCATGGCCAATCCCCCTAATCTACTCATCTTCGGACTGTGGGAGGAAACCAGAGCCACCCATATCAGTCCAATCTTTAGACCAGGCAGCATCAGAGGAGCAGGAAAGCTGACGTTTCGGGTTGGACCCTTCTTCAGAAATGGGGGAGGGGAAGGGGGCTATAAAATAAATAGAGGGGGACAGTGATAGCAGGTAGATAGTGGAGCGGATAGGTGGGAGAGAAGACGGACAGGTCAAGGAGGCCCGGCTGAAGCTAGTAAAGGTGAGTGTAGGTAAGAAGTGTGGATGGGGATTGGTCAGTGAGGTGGGAGGAGCGGATAGGTGGGAGAGAAGACGGACAGGTCAAGTAGGTGGGGACGAGGGGAGGGCTGGCCTTGGAATGAGGTCGGTGGTGGGGAGATTTTGTCCACATTGAGACCATTGGGTTGTAGGCTTCCAAGGCAGAATATGAGGTGCTGTTCCTCCAGTTTCCAGGTGTCATCATTGTGACACTGGAAGAGGCCCAGGATAGACATGTCATCCAGGGAGTGGGAGGGAGAGTTGAAGTGGTTCATGACTGGGAGGTGTTGTCGTTTGTCATGAACCGAGCATAGGCGCTCCATAAAGCGGTCTCCGAGTCTTTGTTCCGAGTGTTCTGAGGATGGGTTGCCGGACCCAAAACATTAACTCTGTTTTCTCCTTCACAGATGCTGCCAGACCTGCTGAGCTTTTCCAGCAACTTTGTTTTTGTTCCTAAAAAAAATTGAGTCTTCTGTGCCCTTGTTGCCACTTTCTTTCCCATTTGGTTTTGTACTGTCACCAAACTTGGATACATAACATTCTATCATTTCATCTAAGTCATCAATATGACATGCAAAATTCTGAATGGACCTCTCAATATTTAAATTTAATGTTGATCTCGCTCTCTGGCCATCTTCTATGCAGCCATAAAATTGTATTCCTCGCTCTGTTCTATTACTCTAATTCACTTTGTATGGTATGATCTGCCTGTACTGCATGCAAAACAAAAGTTTTCATTGTACCTAGGTACATGTGACAATAATAAGTCAAATCGAAAATCAAATCAAATAGCTAAAGCCTCAGCACTGATCTATATGGCACCCCTTGATAACAGTCCACCAAATTGGAAATTGACTAATTCTATGTTACATCTTATTGAATGCCTTTTGGAAATCCAACATATTAATATCTACTGTCTCCCTTTTATCTACTGCAAAAAAGAATCCTCAAAGACTCTCTAAGATATTTGTCAAACATGATTTCCTATTCATAGAACCATGTTGACTCTGCCTAATGATTTTATGATTTTTCAAGCGTCCTCTTACTGACTACTTCTTGGGGAATAGATTCTAGTATTTTTCTGACAACTGATGTCAGACTAAGTGACCTGTAGTTCCTACTTGCTTTGCCTTTCTTCTTTCTCGAATTATGGTGTTACACGTGCCATCTTCCAAACTGCAAGGCTCTTTCCAGAACATAGGCAGTTTTGGAAAATTTCGCTGACCCCCTCCAATGTCTCAGCAGCTATATTCTTTAGAATCTTCAGATGCAAGCCCTAATTTGAACATTCTGGCTCTAATTTTGAGACTGTGCCTGAGATACCCCAACCAGCAGAAATACTATCTCTTCATTAAAAACACATTTTTGCTCACCTGTCCAAATATTTCCCTTATTTCCTCTGTTTTAATATATCTGATTATAATCCTATGAAGCACTGTGAACCATGCTGAAAGTGCTATAGAAATTCATATTGTTGTTGTGAACAAGACAGGTCCATTCATGCTCTTCCTCCTCCTTTCAGGTAACATGTGGGCCCAGCAATGGAACAACATCTATGACCTGGTGATCCCATTCCCAGGTAAAGGCAACATAGATGTCACTGATGTAATGGTTAAGAAGGTGAGTTGGTGTCCTGTTTGATTCTGCAATCCAGAAATGTTGCTATTTGTAGGTTTGAATTTCCCATTAGGATTTCAAACAAGAAAGTGCAGGGGGTCAATTTTCTGCAAAGGTTTGATGGTAGAGACAAAAACATCCATGCAACATTCCAAGATCCCAACTAATTTTTCCTGCAAAACCTGATGGTACAATAAACAGTTAGAACCAAGGGTAAACATATCATTTTAAAATTTGAACAGAACCGCAATGGGCTAAGCTGGTACTTGTTTCATATCCAACTCACTATCACTTTATCTGTAACAGATAATCAGGTAATATTTGCTTACAGTATAATATACTGTACCTTCTAATTAAATTATAGCACCAGTGTGTGCCAGTATATATCACATATTTGAAAATGATAATATCTTGTATCTATGAAATAGTTCAAGCACTCCATCCAGTTTCTATCATTTGTAAAAGAGCCATGTTCCTCCATCAGAAATATCTCATCAGATCCAATTTCTATAACATTATCAAATACAATATCTATACCATATCTAAAATTATGTAATCTGATGTGTTTATTGCTGCAGCATCTTTTAAAAGGAACATATCACTGTATCTATGTAATATATAAATTGCCGCTGTGGCAAGGCCTGTTATAGCTGTCTGCTGCCTCTGTGTCTGACCCACTCCACCCCAAACCCCACCCCCACACCCCCCAGTTCCTCAAGGCTGAGGCTGCCTCAGAACTCTTTGTTGAGGTGGTGGGCCTGACTCCTGCTAGCATCTCAACCCCAACACCAAAGACCCAGATAAAATATTGACTATCTAGGGCATTTTCTCTCAAAACAGTCATTTTACCAGCTCTGTGCTCTCTTCTGGAAACAAAAAAATCTGAGTAAAGTAATTTACTTTGAGGTCAGAGAATATTGGGGTTATGGCTCAATGAAGGTCACAATATGGTGTTGCAGTTGTCCTGAGAAGTGACATCTCATTGAACTTCCATGACAATATCTTACAGAACTGGAATGCCACTCACATGTTCCAAGTCTCGGAGGATTTCTTCACTTCCCTTGGACTCATCAAGATGCCACAGGAATTCTGGGATTATTCAATGCTCAAGAAACCCAGTGATGGGAGGGAAGTTGTCTGCCATGCTTCTGCATGGGACTTCTACAACCAGAAAGATTTCAGGTCAGTTCTTAGCTTTGTAGAATGTGAAGATGAAAAAGAATGAGGAACATAGTGTGTGTTTGATGAAGAAAGCCCAGGGGCCAACTGGTTTGCCTTTTAGCATTTTGGTAGTTAGGTGGAGCTCTGGGGTTTTGTCTAAGGCCAAGTTGATAGGTTATTCTCCTCTGATATTGAATGTTGTGGATTCAGGTCCCATTGCTGATAGTTAATCTCATAGTGGGGGCTGAAACCTCAATAAAAGGCTGCACCCTCCCAAGTATAGGCCCAGACTAACCAGATACCTTCTCAGGAGAATGCCAAATATCCCCAGCTATTTGCAAAAGAGAAGTTCTATCCAGTCTCCTGGCTAATATCTACCCATCAACCAATATCATCAAGATGGAATGTGTGAGCATTTGTTTACTTAGTACTTGTGAAATCTTGCTATGTCTAAATTAGCCCCCTATGATATTCCTTATATTACAATGACTAAGTTCAAAATTATTCATTGGTTATAAGGTACTTGGGATATTATGAAACCCCATTATTAAATGAAAACACATGCCTTTGTACTAATAGAAGGCGATTCTCTGCTTTGTTGTAATTGGTTGGTTTGTTCTGGAATAAAAACAGAAGGTACTGGAGAAACTCAGCATCTGTACAGAAAAAAAAACAGAGCTAACTTTTCAAGGCCAGTATGATTCTTCTTCAGAGTGTTTACTTGATTTGTACTGGGAGGTGGTCAGTTGTCAGGTCTTATGGCGAAACTCTATCTTAACCATGGCCCCCTCTGGCCCCCTAGAATCAAACAGTGCACGACCGTCACTATGGAGCAGCTCTTCACTGTACATCATGAAATGGGCCATGTGGAATACTACCTTCAGTACAAGGACCAACCAGTCAGCTTCAGGGAAGGGGCCAACCCAGGCTTTCACGAAGCAATTGGAGATGTAATGGCGCTTTCAGTATCCACACCCAAACACTTGAAAGAAATTGGACTGCTGGAAAATGTTGTGGATGACCAAGGTAAGAGAAATCCTCAGAGAACTAAGGGGCTAAGGGGCGCATCAGGCTATGGCTAAGGGTGGAAGCTGATTTACTTGTAACTTTCAGAAGGCAAGAGAAGATATACTTGAAAGGAAAATATTTGCAGGTCTAATGTGAAGTTTTGAGGATAGAACCCATTCTATCACCAGAGGCATTTAGAATTAGAACACTATGAGTGGATAAACATGATCCTTTTCATCTCTGAATGGACACAATCTACCACTATATGTTTATATGGTAGCCTCAAATGATGCTTGAGTCAATTTTCAATAGACTCCAGCTACATTAAGAAAAGGTAGGAGAAGAATAACTGGATGAATCTTTTAAGAGGCTTTACAATAGATTAGGTCAAAGGACAGGAACTCTGCAGTGAGTAACTCGACTCCGTCTTCCCAAATCTACAAAGAACAAGTTAGGATAATGATGGAATACTCTCCATTTGTTAGAATTCTTTGAGGAGATAACAAGCACATTAGACAAAGGAGAGCCAGTAGATGTGATCCATTTGGATTTCTAGCAGGCCTTTGACAGGGTGCCACACAGGGGGCTGCTATATAAGATAAGAGCCCATGGTGTTAGGGACAAGGTACTGGCATAGATACAGGATTGGCTAACTGGCAGAAACCTGACAGTCGGGATAAAGGGGTCTTTTTCAGGATGGCAATCGGTGACTAGTGGATTTCCACAGGCATCGGTGCTAGGACCATAACTATTATATTATACATTAATAATCTGGATGAAGGAACTGAGGGAATTTTGCTAAATTTGCAAATGACTCAAAGATAAGACTTGGACAGGCTAGGACAGTCAGAAAAGAATGGACAAAGAATAGGTAAATGGATTATAACGTGGGAAAGTGTGAGGTTATGCACTTTGGTAGGAAGAATAAGAGCATAGACTATTTTCTAAATGGAGAAAGGTTTCGAAAATCCGAAGTACAAAAGAACTTAGGAGTCCTAATTCAAGATTGTCTTAAAGTCAACATGCAAGCTCAGTTGGTAGTTAGGAAGGTAAATGCAATGTTAGCATTCATTTCAAGAGGGCTAGAATACAAGAGCAGAGATGTACTGCTGAGGCTGTATAAGGCTCTGGTTAGACCGCATTTGGAATATGTGAGCAGTTTTGGGCAACATATCTAAGGAAGGATGTGCTGACATTGGAGGGAGTTCAGAGGATGTTTGCAACAATGATCCCAGGTATTAAAGGCTTGTCATATGAGGAGCAGTTGAGGGTTCTGGGTGTGGGCTCGACGGAGTTTAGAAGGATGAAGGGGATCTGACTGAAATTTGCAAAATACTGAGAGGCCTAGATAGAGTGGACATGGAGAAGACGTTTTGACTAGTCAGAGACACTAGGACCTGAGGGCAAAGCCTCAGAATGAAGGGTAACCCTCTAGAACTAAGATGATGAGGAATTTCTTCAGAGGATGGTTAATCTGTGGAACTCATTGCCGTAGAGGGCTGTGAAGGCCAAGTCATTGAGTTCATTTAATGTTTGAGGGTTACAGGGAGAAAATAGAGAATGGGGCTGAAAAACATATCAGCCATGATCAAATGGCAGACCAGATTTGATGGGCCAAATGGCCTAATTCTGCTGCCATGTCTATTGCCCAGATGAGTGCAGCTCCAACAATACTCAAGAGGCTCAACTTCATCCAGGATAAAGCAGTCTGTTTTACTGGAAGCCCATCCACTACCGTCCCCATTAGCATTCCCATGTAATGGCAACAATACCATCTACGAGATGCACTGCAATAACTCACCGAGGCTCCTTCAACAGCCCTTTTCAAACCCTTGACCTCTACCACCTAAACGGATAAGAACAGCAAAAGAATGAGGACGTCACCACCTCAAAATTGCCTCCAAACCAAACTTGGAAAGATAATGTGATTCCTTCAATGGGTCAAAATTCTGGTACTCTGTTTTTACTGCTATAATCTTTGTTTGCCACAATCTTTGCAGGCATAGTCTGCTTCCTCACCCAAGGCCTTTGATATCATGGCTTCTAACCACTAGAATTCCTACAGTGTGGAAAGAGACCATTCAGCCCAACAAGTCCACACCAGCCCTCCAAACAGCATCCCAACCAGAACCAAACCCCCAACCTTAACCTTGTAACCCCACATTTCCCACGGCTAACCCACCTATCCTGCACATCCCCGGATACTACAGGGCAATTTACCATGACCAATCATCTAACCTGCACATCTTTGGACTGTGGGAGGACACCCAGGCAGACATGAGGAAAATTTGCAAACTCCACACAGACAGTCACCTGAGGCTGGAATCAAACGCAGGTCCCTGAAATATTTAAGGATCATCAGAGATTCTCCTATCCCATTCTGCCACCTTTCGACCAACAGCTCTATTGGAGCTAAGGGTTTAATATACAGCCTTACATAGGTTAGAATCCAAGACATTTGCAAATGTAACTTACACCTCCTTCACCTTTATCACAGGTAAGCACTCCATATTCAACTCCAACAAGAGTTGGACAATATCCAGGCTTGGGGTGAATAGTGGCAAGCAACATTCACGCCACACAACTGCCAGACAATGACCATCTCCAATAAGAGGCAATCTAACTCCTGCCCCTTGACATTCAATGGCATTACCAAGACTGAATCTTCTACCATCGACAACCCAGGATCTGCCATTGACTAAAATCTCAACTGGACTCACCAAATAAATACAGTGGCTACAAGAGCAGGTCAGAAGCTAGGAATACATCAGCAAATAACTCACCTCCTAACATCCCTGTCCCCCAAAGCCTGTCCATCATTTACAAGGCACAAGTCAGGAGCGTGATGGAATACTCCCAACTTGCCTGGATGGGCACAGCTCCAACAACACTCAAGATGCTTGACATCATCCAGGGCAAAGCAACCCACTTGATTGGCACCACATCCACAAAAACTGTCCATTCCCACTACCATCGATGCTCAGTACCAGCAATGTGTGCCACCTACAAGATGTACGACAGAAATGCACCAAAGATTCCTAACCAGCACCTTCCAAATTCACAACCACTTCCATCTAGAAAAACAAGGGCAGCAGATACATTGGAACACCATCGGCTATGCGGTTCCCTCCAAGCCATCCATTATCTTGCGGTTGGAAATATACTGCTGTTCATTCACCATCACTGTCAAACAGCATTGTGGGTTTACCTACACCAGATAGACTACAGCAGTTCAAGAAGATAGCTCGCCATCACCTTGTCAAGGAAACTATTTATTATTTGTTAACAATTTGGATAATGGTGTATAAATGTAATATGTCCAAATTTGCAGATGACTCAAGATCAATAAACAGGATCACACTAATAATCCGAGATAGCAAGATGTAGAGCTGGATGAACACAGCAGGCCAAGCAGCATCAGAGGAGCAGGAAGGCTGACGTTTCGGGCCTAGACCCTTCTTCAGAAATCAACCACATTAGTAATCCCATACTTTTCAACCAATTCACGCCCCACTGGACTTATTTCTGCTTATCTCAACTCTACTTTTGTATTTTCCTTGTTCCCATCTACCCAGCAGCCTCTGTATTCAAAGGATCATACCCAACTATCTCCACCAGCTCTAGCATGATGCAATTACCAAACACACATTCCTCTTCCCTCCTAATTCAACACACCCAAAAGGAATATTCGCTCCTCTCATCAATTACTGCTAACAACGTCCTCTCTCCTTACAGCACCTTTTCTTGAAAGCTGTGAAAGCCAGATGCAAATCCTGTCCTTGTACCTCCTCCCTTCTCATTGTTCAAAGCCTTAAACCATCTTTCCTTGTGAAAATTTCCATTAACATTACCTCTAACAATCTAATCGACTCTATTCGCTGCTCATGTTCTGGTCTCCTCTGTAATAAGGAATACAAGTACAAACTGAATTGTCGCTTTGGTGAACACCTCTACTCTGTTCCCACATTATACTCCAATTTTCTATTTGCTTGTCAGTTGACTTTTCCATCTTGCTCATTAAGACACTTAATGACCTGTTGAGTTTTTCCAGCTCTTTATTGTTCTTATCTAACATTGCTTCCTTTTTTTCATACACTGTGCCCCTATTTATGAATCCCAGGGTACCACATACTTGATTAACAACTGTCTTAATCTCCCTTGGTACCTTTATAATTTTGCATGGAGGCCTAGCCTCTCCTCTTCCTGCACGCCTATTTGAATTCCATTGTTCTTCACATTGTTTTTCTTCATTCTTCCTACTGGATTGTATCACTTCTCACTTCCCAGTTCTAATGTCCATGTGTTACCTCCTGCTCATTATATCAGACTGTCTCCATGTCCTTTTGTAAAATTATCACCATTGTCCTCATAGTCCATAATACTTGTATGCTTCCTGTCAACTGCAAATTTTGAAATCGTGTCCTGTACACCTAAATCTACATTGTTAATGTACATCAAGAAAAGCAGTGGTCCACCCCCTAGTGATGATAATCCTCACTTTGATCTGAATAAATTCACAGAATAGAAGGGAAACTGAATTTCAATTCAATTAAGGGTGCAAGATAACCTTGATGAACATTCTTCATCTAGGTTGTTCTGTGATAATTCAGTTAAATTTCTGCTTATTGGTATGGGCAGTAGACCCTTTGAACTTGCCTCTCTGATTTTCCTTCAATGCAATAAATCCCCAACGCACGCATTTCCTGCTCACTGTGTTGTAATTACTCTATCTTCTCATTTCCCTAAGTCAGACAGCTATTGGGTCAAGTTCCTTCCAGAGGTTTCAGTACAAAATTCAAGCTGATACTGTCAGCACTGAAGGAGTGCAGCACTGTCAGAGGATGGGACGTGAAGCCAAGGCCCTGCCTGCCCTCTCACGTGTATGTGAAACACCCCACTATTTTTACAATTGGTAAAGGAATTTTCTCAGGTGACATGGCTGGTATTAATCTCCCAGTCAACATTGGGTAAACAGACTAATCTAGGGGTGGCTCAGTGGTTAGCACTGCTGCCTCACAGTGCCAGGGGCCTGGGTTCGATTCCACCCTCGGGTGACTGTCTGTGTGGAGTTTGCACATTCTCTCCGTGTCTGCATGGGTTTCCTCCGGGTGGATCTGGTTTCCAACCACAGTCCAGGGATGTGCAGGCTAGGTGGATTGGCCATGCTAAATTGTCCACAGTGTCCAGGGATGCCTTGATTAGGGCAGATGGGTCTGGGTGGGATTCTCTGAGGGTCAGTGTAGACTTGTTGGGCCAAATGGCCTGTTTACACACTATAGGGATTCTATGAATGGTTTTAATCACATAGTTATTTGTGGGAGCCTGCTGCACACCATTCACATTTTCTACATGACTACAGCAACTACACTAAGCTACATCACTGACTGTGAATCAGATCAGCCATGATCACATAGAATGGTGTAGCAGGTTCAAGGTGGCCTCCTACTCCCAATTTGTAAATTACTAATTTTGGATTTCCTAAGGTAGAATAGAAATGCTTCGTCTTCTTGTCAACGGTTTTCAAAACCCTAACTTGATGTCAGCTGGTCACCGTTTCCTGATTATTTCTTTCTTCAGTTTCCTGGCCCCTTTCCTGGGAACTGCTGCCTCTTTTTGGGGCAATAGTTTTGTGGCTGCACTTTGTCAACTCTCCCTGGTGTTACAGTGAGTGCGTGTCGACAAACTGTTGGAATGCAACCAAACCATGTTGCATCCACATGTCTGCTCATGGTAAAACCAGAGGGAAGGGTCATGCCAAGACCACACTGCCAAAATCCGCGGCTGACTGTTAACCTGGGCAGAGTCAGTCAATGTGGAGCTGGAAAAGCACTGCAGGTCAGACAGCATCTGAGGATCAGGAAAGTCAATGTTTCAGGTCCTGATGAAGGGTTTCGGCCAGAAACGTTGACTTCCTTCCTCCTTGGATGCTGTCTGACCTGCTGTGGTTTTCCAACTCCACATTTTTTGACTGTAGCTTCCAAAATCTGCAGTCCTTACTGTATCCTGTTATCCAGATCACAAAGGTCTGGTTGATTTTCCTGTCACTTGGCAAGCATAACATTTTATACACACCTACAACTACCAGAAACAGTCTGCATCTAATTAACCAGTACCATCATTTTCCAATCAGAAGCATTTACACTATATCGCCCCATAAGCTGTATCTTTCTCATCATAAAAGAGTGGATTATTCAATATCCCACTGACTAGCTTTCTCAGGTATAGTGTGGTAACAGTGAATAGTGCCCTCTGATAAAGATTGGAAACTCAGAAATCAGTTGATCAGACTGAACACAATAGTCTGGGGTGCTGTTGTAGAGCAGAAAGCAAATAGAACTTGTCAAGGTATGACTTTTGCCCAGTATTCGCAGAGTTTGAACTATATGCTCAAAAAAAGTTCATAGTTGGAAAGAACTTCTTTCCTAGTTATTTCTATTACCTTGTTCCTTTTATATAGTTTAATAGATAAATGAGAGTTAATCTAGGGGTAAATTGAAGTTCCAACCATTCTGATATATAACACAGTCACTGGGTGGGGTATCAGCAGCTCGGGCAGAGAGCTATTGATGCTCCGTCCAATCTTCTCCAGTCTATTTCTTGTTAGTAATAGTTAAATATCTCAGTGTTAATGTATCCTGGAAAAAGTTATTAAGACATAAGAAAACCCATTTTGTTACGTCTTCTGCTAATATTTGTGTTTCACCCTTCACTACAAAGTACTAGAAAGCACCTAGACTAACACAGGAAGAAGGTCAATGCATTTACCTATGGTACCCAGGCCTTACCATCATGATTACAATACTGCTGTAAGTGAGCCCTCTCTAAAGCCTCAATATCCCTCTATAGAATGGTGCCCAATGCATGAGAGTTGTATGAGACATTATGAGTGACCATGGGATTATAGGCAAATGGGAGAACCTTCAGGAAAGGAAAGAAAACTTGCCGGGCGATGGGGATAAGAGCCTTAACAAAGCAGGTAAGATCACTCAGATCTCAGGGTAAGATGTCACCCAGTTAGGACAGAAATGAGAAATTTTGTCTATCGATGGATGGTTAATCTATGGATTTTTTTTTACTACAGAGGCCTGTTGAGGTTGTGTTGTTAAGAATATTCAAGGCTGAGGTAGACAGAATTTTAATCAGTAAGGGATTCAACACTTACGGGGAAAAAGGCAGGAAAGTAGAGTTGAGGATTGTCAGATCAGCCATGAACTCATTGAATGTTGTAGCAGACTTGATGGTCTGAATGGCCTACGTCTGTTTCTACGTTTTATGGTCATTCAACTTCTATTTTACTCAACCCAGTCGTCTGATTTTCTTTGACAGAAGCCGACATTAATTACCTCCTGAAAATGGCCTTGGAAAAAATCGCCTTCCTCCCATTCGGGTATCTGATTGACCAGTGGCGCTGGGGAGTGTTCAGTGGGCGGATTACACCAGAAAATTATAACTTTGAATGGTGGTACCTGAGGTAAAGTAACAACATTTCTCGTTCTATTAAGGGAGACTTTATACTGATAGAGAGGGGCAGTGGAGGAATTCTAAGTAGCAGTGTAAATAGAAAGATTGATGGGGATGATTGATTGATTTTATTGTCATGTGTACCAAAATGCAGTGAAAAGCTTTGTTTATGAGCAGTACAGGCAGATCACAGCAAGCAAAGGATGTACAGATCAAAAAGACTTAGAGACATACAGGTTACATTATTTGAGGCTAGAGTCCATTTCATCAGTCTGATAACAGCCTGAAAGAAGCTGTTCCTGAACCTGCTTGCGCCTGTGTTCAGGCTTCTGTATCTTCTGCCTGACAGAAGAGGTTGTAGGAGATCATTACCGGGGTGTGATGGATCTTTGATGATGTTGGCAGCCTTTTCGCGGCAGCGAGCCATGTAAATGGAGTCCACAAATGGAAGGTTGGCTTCCATGATGGTCTGGGCTGTGCACAGCACCTTCTGCAGTTTCCTACAGTCCTGGGCAGAGCCGTTATGCACCCGGACAGTATGCTTTCAATGGTGCATCTGTAGAAGTTGGTGAGGGACCTTATGGAAATGCCAAATTTCCTGAGCCGCCTGAGGAAGAAGAGGCGTTGTTGTGTCTTCTTGACTGTCGCATCTATTTGGGAAATCCAGGACAGGTTGTTGGTTATTGTCACTCCAAGGAACTTGATGTTTTTCACTCTCTCACCTTCAGTTCTATTGATGTAGATGGGGGCGTGTTCTCCTTTTATCTTTCTGAAGTCGACGATCAGTTCTTTAGTTTTGCTGACATTGAGAGACAGATTGTTTTCATTGAACCACATCACCAAGCCCTCTATCTCACTTCTGTAGTTTGACTCATTGTTGTTAGATATCCATCCCACTACGATGGTGTCGTCAGCGAATTTGTAGATGGCGTTCATTCGGAATTTGGCAACACTGTCATATGTGTACAGGGAGTACAGTGAGGATGCATCCCTGGGGGGCTCCAGTGTTGAGTGTTATTGTGGAGAAAGTGCAGTTACCTATCCTCACTGATTGTGGCCTATGGTTCTGAATGTGAAGACTGCAGGTAAAATAGAAAAGAAAGATGTAAGAGTCAGAGCATATAGTAACTCTGAAGAACTAAATTGCATTTATTTCAATGCAAGGGGTCTTACAGGTAAAGTTGATGAACTCAGGGCATGTTTAAGAACATGGGATTGGGACATCATAGCTATTACATAAACTTGGCTGATAGATGAACAAGGCTGGCACCTCAATGTTCCGAACAGGGCAGGTGACTGAAGTAAAAGTGGGGGACCTCTTTGGGTCTAGCAATCATAATTCTACTGGTTTCAAAATGGATATGGCAAAGGATAAGCTTTCCATAAGAGTTAAAGTTTTTAATTGGAGAAAGGCAAATTTTAATGGTATGAGACAATAACTTTAAAAAGTTGATTGGACTAGACAGTTCACACGTAAAAGGACACCTGACAAGTGGGAAGCTTTCAAGAGTGTGATGACGAGAGTTCAGAGCATTATGTTCCTGTTAGACTGAAGGGCAAACTGGTAAGAGTAGGGAACAATGGATGAATAAAGGTTTTGAGGACCTAGTCAAGAATAAAAGAGAATCTTATTTTAGATATAGACAACTTGGCTCAATTGAATTTCTTAATCAATGTAAAGAGTATGGGGCATTCTCAAGAAGGAAATCAGGAAGGCAAAGAGGGGATATGAAATAGCATTGGCAGATATGTTTAAGGATAATCCACAAAAAGCTTCTACAAATACATTAAGAGCAAGAGGGTAAATAGAGAGAGGGTAGGGCCCCTTAAAGATCAAGGAGATCATCTTTGTATTGAAACCCAGGAGTTGGGAGAGATACTAAATGAGTATTTCATGTCAGTTTTTACTGTGGAGAAAGAAATGGAGTCTAGAGAATGCAGAGAAATAAACTTTGATGTTTTAAAAACTGTTCACATTACAGAAGAGGAAGTTTGGGAGGTCTTAGAGAATATAAAGGTGGATAAATCTCCAGGACCTGATCTAATGTATCCCAGAATGTTGTGGATGTAAGGGAGGAAATTACAAGACCCCTTGCAGAAATATTTGCATCATGTATAACTATGGATGATGACTGGAGGGTGGCTAATGTTGTACCTTTGTTTAAGAAAGTTTGTAAGGAGAAACTATAGAACTGTGAGTCTGACATCAGTTGTGGGTCAATCGTTGGAGGTAATTATAAAAGATAGGATTTATGGGCATTTAGAGAGACAAAAATTGATTAGAGACAGTCAGCATGGTTTTGTGTGAGGAAAATCTTGTCTCACAAACTTGGTTGAGTTTTTTGAGGAAGTTACCAAAAAGAATAATGACGACAGAGTAGTAGACGTTGTTTATTTGGATTTTAGTAAAGCTTTTGACAAGGTTCCACATAGTAGACTAATTAGTAAAGTTGGGTCACATGGGATTCAGGGTGAACTTGACAATTTGATACATAATTGGCTTAACGGTAAGCGACAGATAGTGGTAGTAGAGGGTTGCTTTTTGGACTGGAAGCCTGTTACCAGTTGTGTTCCACAGGGATTGGTTCTGACTCCTCGTTCATTTGTCATTTGTATAAATGATTTGGATGAGAATATAGAAGACATGGTTCGTAAGTTTGTAGATGACACCAAAATTGGTGGCATTGTAGACAGTGAAGAAGGTTTTCTAAGATTACGAAGGGATCTTGATCAAATGGGTCAATGGGCTGAAAAATGGCAGATGGAGTTCAATCTGGATAAATGCAAGGTATTGCATTTTGGTACAACAAACAAAGATAGGGTTTATACAATTAATGCTAGGGCCATGGGTAGTGTTTTGGAAAAGAGAGACCGAGGGGTGCAGGTACATAATTCTTTGAAGTTTGCATCACAGATAAACAGAGTGGTTAAAAAGGCATTTGGTATGCTTGCCTTCATTGCTCAGCCCTTTGAGTATAGGAGTTGGGAAGTCATGTTGAGGTTGTATAGGACATTAGTGAGGCCTCTTCTGGAATACTGGTCACCCAGTTATAGGAAGAATATTATTAAGCTGCAGAAGGTTCCGAAGAGATTTATCAGGATGTTGCCAGGCATGGAAGGTTTCAGTTATAAGGAAAGCCTGAATAGACTGGGACTTCTATCACTAGAGTGTAGGAGGTTGAGAGGTGACCTGACAGAAGTTTATAAAATAATTCGAGACATAGATAAAGTTAAGGGTAGTTGCCTTTTCCCCAGGATGGGGGATTTCAAGACTAGGTGGCACATTTTTAAGGTGAGAGGAGAGAGATTTAAAAAAGACATGAGAGGCAATGTGGAATGAACTTTCCGAGGAAGTGGTGGATGTGGGTTCAATGACAACATTTAAAAGACATTTGGATAAGTACATGGATGGGAAAGGTTTGGAGTGATATGGGCCAGGATTAGGCAGGTGGGACTATTTAGTTTGGGATTATGCTTGGCATGGACTGGCTGGACCGAAGGATCTGTTTCTGTGCTGTATGACTCTATGACTCTATGACTATAACAGAACATCTAACGGCCCATAAAAAGAGGATAACATAGCAGTTTGTGTTTGAGTCAGGACTTGGTTTGTGATTGCTCTTTTCTTTTCCAGGACAAAGTACCAAGGGATCTGCCCACCAGTTCCAAGAAATGAGAATAACTTTGACCCTGGTGCCAAGTACCACATCCCCGCAAACACACCTTACATCAGGTAAAATTGTCTGAGGGGGTTGAATTTCAGAGATGCTGATAAAAACACAAGAAACTCAGGGTGTGATATTTTCCTCATTGAAGGTGGTGAAGGATTAGGGAACTCACCCTCTCCCTCACCCCTCACTCATTAACGTCTGAGTGAGAAGATCCATGGATAAATTTCCCAACCAGGCACCATTTAGATAACTGAAATAGTCAATTAATAGCCATGTAAGGACCTTAACTCACCTCTCTATAATTACCAGGCAGATGAGTTGGGCGCCTAGTGTCCTAACCTAAAGCAATCCGCCTGTGGGAACTGCTCCAAATGCCCCAACCTGGAGGCAATCAAAGACATGGATCCGAGGCAAAGGAGATAACCTCTGAAAGCTACCCTCCTATCCTTGCCTGCTATCTGTCCCCATCTCATGAGAACAGCACAAAAAGACATCTTCTCACCATTGGATCTCCCAAGCTATGGCCACATAAGGAGATATTGGTTAGATGACCATCACTTTGGTCAAAGAGGCAGGGTTCAATGAGTGTCTTAAAGGAGGAGAGGTGGACAGTTGTAGGGAGAGAATTACGGAGCCTGAAGACAGGCAACAGAAGACATGGCCATTAGTGGGGATTAAAATCAGAGAACAAGAGGCCAGAACCAAAAGAATGCAGACTATGAAACTGAAGGAAGTTACAGAAATATGGAGGGACAAGGCTATGAAGGGAAGTTGAAAACAAAGACAACTTAAAAGTTAATTTTTGATTGAGTGGGAGCCAAAGTTAATCATCAAGCAGAGGGATGATAGGAGAATGGTTTTCCCAATATTGAATTGGACGATGTGATCGCCTTATCCAGCACTGGATGTCAGGTTAACAGGGATGAATGAGAATGAGCTGAAGCAGTGATGATGTTGGAATCAGTGGTGTTAACAATAGCGCAGATGCATGGTTGGTAGTTCCCCCAGGGTCAACTCTGACAACAACATTGTGAAAAGTCTGGGCAAGTGTCAGACAGTTGACAATGACAGGAGGGGAGTTGGTAGCTCAGGAATGGAGCTTGGAATCTAAAGAACGGGGATGAAGGATCATTTCAAATATTCTGAAAGGAAAGGGATTAAAGACAGGTAAATGGAGTGAGTTAACACCAATGATAATTGAATTCAATAGCAAGAAGTCTCAAACATTTGAATGGCTTCCTCCAGTTGCTATTTTTCCTCAGAAACCAAGTTTCTCTTACCATTTACAGGTACTTTGTGAGTTTTATCCTGCAGTTTCAGTTCCACAAAGCTCTGTGCAATGCTTCAGGACACACAGGACCTCTGCATAAATGTGACATCTACAAGTCTGTTGAAGCTGGCAACGTTCTCAGGTAGGTATTGATTTTTTTGACTAAAAAGTGGGGAAAAAAAATAACCCTTCACTAAGGAGTAAGAGAGCACAAATATTACTAAAAGGAGACAAGAGGTTGAATTTGCACTCATTTGGGTAAGAACACAAGAAACAAGCTGAAAAGAGGAGATACCATTTTATCCAGTTTGAGCCAAGTGGTCTGATATGGTTGGGCCATCATTAACATGGAAATGCAGTGAGAACAATTAACTGCAGTTCTTGGTTAAGTCCAGTTACAGTGTGGGCGTGATTCAAATGGGTCTTGTTAATGGTGCAGTCATCTCCAGTAGCAGTACAGAAGCACAAACTGGTTACATCAAAAAATGAAATAAATTTGCACACTTCAGACCAAGCTGAGTGTAAAACACAACATGGATCTTAGAATCCTCACAGTGTGGAAGCAGGCCATTCAGCCCATCAATTCCACACCAACCCTTCTGAAGAGCATCCCACCCAGACCCAGCCTATCCCTGCATTTTCCATGACCAATCCACCCAACCTGCACATCTTTGGACTACAGGAGGAAACCCACACAGACACAGCGAGATTATGCAAACTCCACACAGACAGTTGCCTGAAGCTAGAACCAAACCCAGGTCCCTGGTGTTGAGAGGCAGCAGTGCTAACCACTGAACCACCATGCTGCCCTTGGATGTTAATGGTCTGTTGTATTTCATGTTGGATAAAAACAAGTTTGACCTATTTTTCTACCTGACCTGTTCGGAGATGTTATTACATACCTCAGGAGCAGGTGGGACTTAAACCCTGACCTCTGGGTCCAGGGGTAGGGACACTACCACTGCACCACCAGAGAATTGTGGCTATAGAGCTGAGATAAAGGTACAGCAAGACCAAATTAAGGGTATCAACCACATTATTAGACTCACAGGAAACTTAAGAAGTGCCAAACCATCTGTTGAATTTCTCTGAAAGTACACTGGACCCAGCATCCTGCCAGGATTTATTTCCCTGTGTTTTGATTGAGCTAAAGTGAGACACAGTCCTACAACAGGACACAATTTTATGTAAAATGGGATTAAACAGATTGATAGCACAGTCACTGATCTGAGTCATTTTCCACACTACACTTGGTCTGAGGTCAGCAAATTTATTTCATTCTTTGATTTTTAAATTTATTCTTGGGGCTGTGTGAATTGCTTCCTGAGCCAGAATTTATCACCCATCCCTAGCTGCCCTCAAGAAGGTGGTGGTGAGCTGCCTCCTTGCACTGCCACTATCCTTTTGGTGTAGGTTGACTCAAATGCCCATAGGGAGAGAATTGCAGGATTTTGACCCAGCGACAATGCATGAACATCGATATATTTCCAAGTCGGGATGGTGAGTGGTTTGGAGGGGAACTTGCAGGGGGTGGTGTTCCCATATATCTGCTGCCCTTGTCCTTCTAGATGGAAGTGTTTGTGGATTTGGAAGGTGCTGTTGTAGGAGTCTTGGTGAGTTGCTGCATTTTGTAGATGGTACACACTGCTGTTGTGAGTATCAGGGCTGGAGGGAGTGGATGCTTGTGGATGTGGTGCCAGTCAAGTGGGCTGCTTTGTCCTGGATGGTGTCCAGTTCCTTGAGTGTTGTTGGAACTGTTGTCATTCAGGTAAGTGGCAGCTATTCCATCACACTACTAACTTGTGATTTGTAGGAGGTGAACAGGCTCTGGGAAGTCAGGAGGTGAGTTAGTTGCTGCAGGGTTTCTAGTCTCTGACCTGCTCTTGTAGCCACTCTGTTTATATGTCAAGTCTAATTGAGTTTCTCGTCAATGATAACACCCAGGATGTTGAGAGTGGGGGATTGAATGATGATAATGCCATTAAACATTAAGGGGTGATGGTTAGATTGTTTCTTGCTGATGATGGTGATTTTCTGGAACTTGTGTGAAATTAATATTACTTTCTACTTGTCAGCCCAAACCTGGATATTGTCGACATCATGCTACATTTAAACACTGCCCTCTTCAGTTCAGATTTAATCCAATTGTGGGGTTATATTTTCTCTATAGGTAACCATCCCATGAACAACCACCCCACATTCAAAGTTTTCCAGGATTGGCAATTAACTGTTCTTGCTGCATCTCCATGCCAACAATGGCCTCACCAATCAGCACCCTGTTCACATGTTGTATAAATTGATGACCTCTTTCCTGAGATAACAAGGTGTAGAGCTGAATGAACACAGCAGGCCAAGCAGCATCAGAGGAGCAGGAAAGCTTCTGAAGCAGGGTCTAGGTCCGAAACATCAGCTTTCCCGCTCCTCTGATGCTGCTTGGCCTGCTGTGTTCATCCAGCTCTACACCTTGTTATCTCAGATTCTCCACATCTGCAGTTCCTACGACCTCTTTCCTGAAGTCTGTTTCTTGCACCCTGGTCCTAATGTGTGCGAGATGAAAAGTTTCCTCTTCTTGGCTCCTTATAGCAATATTTAAATTCTGTACTACCAAGCAAACACTTAGCGACCACAAATAGACATTGCCATAAGAATAATAAGCACGATGTTCACTGGGTGTGGAGATTCCTTTGGCGATACACATCTTGTTCATATCTCACTATAGTCACAAATTATAGTAAAAGTTTAAACTTTCTGTAAATGTCATTCTTGAGAATAATAGGAAGGTCCAGTTACAGAATATTAGTTTGGTAACCAGGGTGATCATCTCTCAATTGTAGGAGCACCTTTCGTTTTTAATCTCCTCTTCTTTACTTGACCTTGAGTCATTGCTGCCTGATTGTCCTCACCACTTGGTAAAAATGGTGGTCAACTAAAAGCCCTTTGACAGAGTTGTTCATTCCTGTCGTTAGGGGCCCAGAATAATTGAGTTCTTTGAATGACTGGACTTATTTTTATGATATAAAATTAATTCTACGTCATCCTGTGCAGTCAATCACACAGTGTAGGAACCTAACATCCAGATGTGCTGATAGCCCAGCCAGAAATTGGCCGCACAATGTCCACCATTAACTCCAACCCCACTGACCTCTGGGAATTAAGCAGCCAGGGCGGGAGGAATGGTACCCATCATGCTTCTTGAGAGGACGCACCTGTAGAATCCAACATAATGCTACAGACAGATGCCCTGAAAATCTATCTTCTCTCTATCTCAGAAATGAACCATCCAGAGAGCTTCCAGAACATTATACAACAAGTCTGTGAGATTCTATATAACAGACGTTAAATATTTTTCTGTGGTTTCTCTTTCAGTAAAGCACTGAGTGCTGGTTCCTCTAAACCTTGGCAGGACATCCTTCAAGAGCTGACAGGCAGCGGCAAGATGAATGCAAGTGCCTTGCTTGAGTATTTTAAACCCGTCACTGACTGGCTTCAGAAAAAGAACAATGAAAACAAGGAAGAACTGGGTTGGTCTGATTTTACCTGGACCCCTCCAATCCCTGACGGATACCCAAATGGCATTGGTAAGTGTCACAAAAGGCAGATGTGAGCTATGGGCAGGGAGGTTAGAGGGTATTTCCCTCAGGCATATAGTCATAGGATTCCTACAGTGCAGTTGGAGGGTATTTGACCCATTGAGTCTGCACTGATCTTGCAAACAGTATCCCATCTAGACCCACCCATCCCCGCATTTACTGTAGCTAACCCACCTAATCTGCGTATTCTTAAACACTGCAGGACACGTTTACATGGCCAATCCACATAATCTGCACATCTTTGGACTGCGGGTGGAAACCAGAGCACTTGGAGGAACCCCACACAGACACAGGGAGAATGCGCAAACCCCACACAGACAGCTACCCAAGGCTGGAATCAAGCCTAGGTCCCTGGTGCAATGAGGCAGCAGTGCTAACCACTGGGCTACCACTGAACCAGCAAACAATCAGCTTGATTAAACCAAATTCCATGAGCTAATTGACTATGCCTTGACTCTCTTATTGACATAACTTTAAAAGGAAAGATTTGGCTCAACAAAAATTGATTGGATGAAGAGTTCTGCAGACTCACTATCTGCAGTCTTCCCTTTGCTGCTTGTGACATGACCAATGTACAGGCTATTGCTCAGTCAGTGCTCAGGATGCCTCTGCACTGTCTCAACAGGATTTAAGTTACATCTGAGGTTCTGTACGTGAGTAATGTGACCTGTGGGCAGTGTAATGTGCCTGGGAGCAACTGAAGTATTCAAGTCAATGGTTCCCATCAGAGGAGATTTCTTCGTTTCATGTCTGACTCTGTTATAGAGATTGATTACTGTCGTTAATCAATACTGTCATTATCATTTTATCACCTGGCTACCAGGATAGATGGATTTAATGCACCTTAGTTCACTTCATTTAATTATATTTTGATGACAGCAAATTACTCACCTTAATTCCTATATCACAACGTTGGCAACACTGAAAAAATACTTCACTGCGTGTAAATTTGAAACCATGAAAGGTGATATGTAAATGTAAATTGGTTTCTTTATGCTCCTTGAGTAACTTTCCCCTTCACAAACTAAGTGATAAATTGCTGAGTTCCTGTTCTTGAACAATGAATGGAAATCCATTTTTTACTGAGCCAGTGATGCACCCACCAGGTTATCACAAGGGATGGGGACGGAGTTTACCCATCTCCCTACCTCCTAATATACGTGAGCATGATTCTTCCTCAACATCACACTGTTTTGGTTTAAAACGTTTCATTATAAACAAACAGTTGATGAATGAATGGGAAAAATGTTTTTTATATACCTTTCAGTGTTCACAGCAAGGGGAGACACTTCCCATATACTCTCCTCTTGTCTGGTTCCCCAGGAAGTTGACATAACAAACAGAAGGAGAATTGTGTTTCTCTGACACCTTTCACATCCTCAGGTTCTGCTTCACGGCCAACCAAATCATTTGTGAAGTTCAGTCACTCTTGGAGTGTTAGAATTGTGGCAGCCAATTTCTGCGCAGCAAGATCCCACAGCGATGTCGCAGTGAGCAGATCGCCTGTTCTTCTTGTAATTTTGGTGAAGGGGCAAATATTGGGCAGGACCCCAGTATCAACAACTCCTTTATTTTAAGATAGTGGTGCAGAGTCTTTTACATCCAAAGGGGAGGACAATCATGGATTAGAGCCCTTCTCTTCTAACAGGAGACATTTCTTCTCATCTCTGTCTTAAATGGGCAATCCCTCTCCCACGTCTATCATGTACATGAAGTAAATGGCAGAACCCTTATAAGCATTAACATACAGAGGGATCTAAACGTACAGGCCCACAGTTCCACGAAAGTGGCAACATAAGTGGATAAGGTAGTCAAGAACATATATGACATGCTTGCCTTCATTGGTTGGAACATAGAGTATAAATATTGGCAAGTCGAGTTGCAGCTTTAGGCCACAAATTAGGCCACATTTGGAATATGGTGTACAGTTCTGGTCACCACACTACCAGAAAGATATGAAGACATTGTAGAGGGTCTAGAAAAGATTTACCAGGACGTTGCCTGATCTTGAGAGTATTAGCAATGAAGAGAGATTGGATAAGTTTGGTTTGTTTGCATTAGAACATCGTAGGCTGAGCGGGCAACCTGATAGAAGTTTAGGAATTATGACAGGCATGGATAGAATGGATAGTCAGAGTCCTTTTCACAGGGTGGAAATGGCAATTACTAGAGGACATAGGTTTAAAGTAAAGGGGAATGTGTAAAGGAGATGCAAGAGATAAGTTTTTTTACACAGAGGATATAAGTGTCTGTAATGCACTGCCAGAGGAGGTGGTAGAAGCAGATCCAATAGCAAAGTTTCAGAGGCATCCTGACAGACACAAGAATAGGCAGGGATTAGAGAGATATGGATCATGCAGAGGCAGGGGGTCTTTAGTTTAGAAAGGCATCATGTATCAGTGGTGGGCCAAAGGGTCTGTCCCTGTGCTGTACTATTCTTTGTCCTTTGTGCTCACTTCCTCCTCATAAGGCAGTCCATCCAGACCCGGTATTAGCCTAATGAACCTTCTCCCATATATCTTTCCTTAGTTAAGGGGCCCAAAACTGTTCACAGTATACCAGCTGTGGCCTGATTAGTGCCTTCTTAACAAGAAGTCCCTAGTTTTACTGGTTTGTACTTCCTCAATTGTATGGGCCTAGAGTTTTGGAAAGGCATCTTCTTTGAGCTGTTAGCCCAGTGGGAGGTAGATGCCCTCCAACATCTGTTAGTACTAAAATCTTGGAGTGTATTGTTAGTAAAAGGAACATGGGTTTATGCTCTGTGAACCTGATTATGTGGCACCTGTACAATGACCTCTGGGCACTTGTTGCCTGTAATTCGTCACTATTGGAGACAAAGTGATGGATCCACAAATCTGTCAGATCAGCCCATTTATTCTCTCTCCTGCATGCTTGAACAGAGAATTAGATTATCCATGCCCCATCTCTAACCTGGTTTATGCTCATTCACGCAGCTCCCACTTCAGCAAGGGCTTCAATTTAAAATGTACAATCTTGAGTTCAAATCCCTCCATGGTTTCTACATTCTGTTTGCAACTCTCAAAGCTCTCCATGATCCTTCAATTCTGGTTTTCTGTGCAATTCTTTGCTCCAGAGATGCCTTCAACTAACTAATCCCTGGAACCCTCTTCCTGACCTTTTCTACTTCCCAACTCTCTCCTTTTCTTTAAGATGCTCCTTAGAATAGGTTGTTCGTCCAAGCGTTTGGTCACTTGTCCTCATAGCTGTAGGCCAATGTTAATTTTTGGCTGGTTATGGGCAACATGATGGCTCAGTGGTGGGTTAGCACTGCTGCCTCACAGTGCCAAGAACCTGAGTTTGATTCTAACTTCAGAGCCTGTGTGGAGTTTGCATTTTCTCCCCATATCTGCATGCTGGGAGTTTTGGTTTCCTCCCACAGTCCAAAGATGTGCAGGTTAGGTGGATTTGCCATGCTGAAATTGTCCATAGTGTTCAGGGATGTATAGGGTAGGTGGATTAGCCAGGACCCATGTCGGAATTTGATGAGATGGTCCTCGGAGGGTTATTGTGGACTCGATGGGCCAAAATAGCCTCCTTCCACACTGTGGGGCTGTTATGTCATTGTAACACTGTGGGTCATTTTATCACATTAATGGAGCAACATAAATGCAAGTGGTTGTAAACCTTTATGTCCCATTTGGCTTCTTACAGACAAAATCACCGATGAAAAGAAAGCGCAGGAGTTTGTCGACAATTACAACACAGTCACAGAGAAAGTGTGGTATGACTACACAGAGGCCTCCTGGGCATACAATACCAACATCACCGAACAAAACAACAAGGTCATGGTATGTTCATCCTCTGTGCCGTCACACAGAACCCAGTAGGTGGTTACATTTGGACTCAAGGGCTGCATTAACCAAAACTAAAGACAATACATTTCTTGGGGGATGACCATTTCACCAGCAATTTGTCATCCAGTGGGATTCTAATTGTTTGAATACAAAAGATGCAATGTAGAAATGAATAAATACACAATTTAATATTCTCTAGAGATCAAACCAAATCTGATGACCCTATGCTAATGCACAATTGCTTTTCACACACCCATATCTATATATATTGAATTTGGATAAAGACAACTATCACAAGGCATTCAAGATTTACAAATGTCCGATTGTAAGTCAGTAATATAGTACAAACAACAGTCTCAGCGGAACTGTCCACTATCCAGCAGCCAACGCCAACCAACGAAGAACTTAGCACCTTTTACTACTTACCAAATTTTATTATCAGCAAATCGCCCAATTAAGCAAATTTCATCGCAACCCACTAGAATCAGAACACACAAAGGGGAAGCAACAAGGTAGGGGACTCAATTAAAATGGAGTCCCTGGAGAAATAATGCACCCCAGCCCCCGTTGTGCCCACCTCCCTCTGAAAGCTTCAAGGGAACTCAGCTCACTCTCAGATATTACATTCCAGACCCTAACCACTCGAGTGAACCTGCCTCCCCCCACACTCTCAGACAGTACATTCCACACCTTAACCTATTGCTGTGTGAAAACATTTTTCCTGACAAGACCACTGTTTCTTTTGTCAATCACCCTAAGTCTCTGGTTCTTGGTTCTTGAGCCTTCTAACATTGGAACAAATTCCCGAAATCCATCTGTTCAGATCTATCCTTCCTTTCTCTTCTCGAAGGGAAACAAGTGCCAACTTATCCAATTTATCTATGTGACTGAAGATCCTCATCTCTGGAACCACTCCTGTGAATCTTTTGTGCATTCTCCCTGATAGCGTCCTAAAGTATGATGTCCAGAATTGGATGCAGTACTCCAGTTGACATCACATTGGTATTTTATGAAAGTTTAACAGGACATCCTTTCTCTGTGACCTTATTAATAAAGCCCAGGGCACTGTATGCTTTATCAGTTGCTCTGTCAACCTCACTTGCTACCTTCAATGAATTATTCACATATGGATCCTACTTTCTCTGACCCTGCACCCCTTTAGAATTAAACTCTTTATTTTGTATTGCCTTTCTGACCTCTTTGTACCAAACCGATTCAGTTCACACTTCACTGCATCAAACTCCGTCCACTACTTGGCTGTCCATTCCACCAAACTGCCTATGTCCTTTGGAACTATCTCCTCCCGGTTCACAATTCTTCTAAGATTCAGTTCAGCAATAAATGTTTAAATCATGCCCTGTACCTAAGGCCTAGATCATTAATATTAATCAGGAAAAGCAAGGGTCCCAAACCACTTAACCCTGGGGAACTTCTCCACAGTTAGAAAAGCATCAATTAACCATTAAAAACAAAATACTGTGGATGCTGGAAATCAGAAATAAAAACAGAAGAAGAGTCACACTGAACTTGAAATGGTAACTCCATTTCTCTCTCCACAGATGCTGCTAGACCTTCTGAGTTTCTCCAGCAATTTCTATTTTTATTTCATTAACAATTATTTGGTTTCCTATCACTTGGCACATTTGTGTTGCTATTGTCCCTTCCATTCCATGGCCTATAACTTTGCTCACAAGTCACTGACGGGTGGCATTTTATCAAATGCCTTTTGGTAGTCCCCACATACCACATCAATAGTATTGCCCTCATCAACCTTCTCTGCAACCTGATTAAAAAGACTCAAGCAAGTTAGTTATACATTCTTCGCCCTTAACAAATTCATGTTGGTTTTCCTTAATTAATTTACATTTTTCCAAGCGACTTAATTTTGCCCAAGAAAACTGGGTTTTTGGTTTTCACTCCCATGACAGGCAGCTCAGGTCAGGGTAAAGTGTCCTGAGTGGCACTGGGTGAACTCCAGGGAGAGTGTATGTGAAACTGAGAATGGCCTGTTCTGCCTTACATACTGATTGGAGATGGCCACAGGGGCTACCAAATGAGGAGGTCAGCTGATTCTTTTTTCATTGTTACACCATATGGTGATATTCTGTGACGGCGTTGGTGGGAAGGCACAGCATGTAGCAGATGGTGAGGTGACAACGTTGACAGCAAGTGTTGAAATGCACAGAGAGTCAGGAGAGAGGAAGAGGGAGCAGGAACAAATAGGTTTGCACCAAAATGAGTTTGAGTTGACTTAGAGTCATAGAGCTCTACAGCATGGAAACAGACCCTTCTTTTCAACTTATCCATGCCGACCAGTATCCTATTCGTCTAGTCCCATTTGCCAACATTTGCCTCATATCCCTCTAAACCCTTCCTATTCATATACCCATCCTTTTAAATGTTGTCATTGTACCGGCCTCCAACTTCCTCTAGCAGCTCATTCCATACACGTACCACCTGAGCCGATGGCCTGGTGGGTTTGAATTCTGCCACAGCAGATTCAATAAATGTGTGGAATTAAGCATCTAATGATGACCATGAATCCATTGCCATTTGTCAGGAAAAACCCATCTGATTCACTAATGCCATTTAGAGAAGGAAACTGTCATTCTTACCTGGTCTGGTCTACATGTGACTCCAGACCCACAGCAATTAGGCTGACTCTTAACTACCCTCTGGGCAATTAAGGATGGGCAATAAATGCTGCCTAGCCAGCAACACTCTCATCCCATGAATGAATAAACAAACACCCTCTGCGTGAAAAAATTGCCCCTTAGTTGCCTTTTAACTCCTTCCCCTCTCATCTTAAACCTAAGCCCCTCTAGTTTTGGACTCTCCTACCCTGGGGAAAAGACATTGTATACTTACCCTATCCATGCCCCGTGTAATTTTATAAACCTCTATAAGATCACTCCTCAGCTTCCAATGCTCCACAGAAAATAGCCCCAGCCTATTCAACCTCTCCCTATAGCTCAAACCACCCAACCCTGGCAACATCCTTGTAAATCTTTTCTGAACCCTTTCAATTTCACAGCATCCTTCCTATAGCAGGGAGACCAGAAATGAACGCAGTATTCCAAAAGTGGCCTAACCAATGTCCTGTAGCCAGAACATGACCTTCCAACTCCTATGCTCAATGCACTGACCAATAAAGGTAAACGTATCAAACGCCTTCTTCACTATCCTGTCTACTTGTGACTCCTCTTTTCGGGAACTATGAACATGCGTTCCAAGATTTAGTTATTCAGCAAACATTCCCAGGACCTTGCTATTAAGTGTATTAGTCCTGCCCTGGTTTCCCTTTCCAAAATGCAGCACCTCACATTTATCTGAATTAAACTCTGACTGGCACTCATCTGGATGGATACAAGGAACAAGAAATGAAATATTTTTTAAGTACTGAATAGTCAAATATGTAAAAAAAATGTCCAGTGCACACATTCAGGGAAAGCAAGCTCAAATGGCTTGGCTTCTGACATGTGTGTGAGTCACAGCCCACCCCTTTCTCATATCAGTAAAAGTTAGAGTCTGATTAAAATTGGCTATGTTTGTTTCTTGCCCTGCCATCAGAGACAGCATTTCCTGCACTTGCAGCAAAGCAGCATTGCTGCCAGTGAAATCCTAGGCATTAGAACTAATAACAATTGTCATAAAAAGAATCATTGATCTGTTTCCTCCCTTCACCATGACTCCTCACTACTACAGTCGCTGCTGGCTCGCTTGTGGAATGGATGGTGGGGAGTGGAATATAAAAGCAAAGGGCTTTCAGGAGGGAATGGGGGAGACGTGCCAAATGGTGTGGGCATGAAGTAGAGGGAGCAATCCCAAGTGAGTTAGTGCTGAAAGAAGCAGCGAGACGCTGTGGTGATGTGGAGGAAGCAGGGAGACGTGAAAATACATGGCAAAGGGAGCCTTTGAATGGGGGAGATTTAGAGATGCACAATGATGGTATCAGTAGTTGAAGAATCCACACAGAATCTGGAGAGTGTGGCCATTACATGTGTGCCAGTCATGTCTGTTTGTGTGTGCAACCATGAATAAATCTGCTCTAATTGCATGCATTCGCGTAGGTATGTATAGACGTGCGAATGCCAGCAAAATTCTGTAGATTCAAACAATTGAAATGCACACCTGGAAAGTGCTTCATGACTGTTTTTCTTTAACTAGCTGGAAAAAAGCCTCGAGATGTCCAACCACTCACTGGTGTATGGTGTCCAAGCTCGACAATTCGACTCTACAGACTTCCAAAGCCCAGAAATCAAACGTATCCTGAAGAAACTAAGTGATATTGAACGTGCAGCTCTTCCTGAGGAGGAGGTGAAGGAGGTCGGTGCAGGTTCTTACTGCTACAAGAAAATGCCTGTTGTTGCATAGTTATGAATTGGCGTTGCATTGGGTGCATTCATTTCTTGATAACCTAATTTAGAGATGCATAGTAGACTACAGAGACAGGCATCAGACTGATCCTGAACCCAGACTGGTATTGTCTGGTAGCTTTTTCACAAGCAGATAGTTGTTGCTGTGTGGGTGGATCAACTGTGAAGGTTTAGAGCTCACTGATTCTCCCATAGTGTTACTCATTGAGAATCAAACATCATGTTGTTGTGGGGCGGGATTGGGGGAGATGCTGAATTAGCACAGGCTTGAACTAATTCAAAAAATATCTGGAAAGCAGCTTATGAAATCTGCTCACAGATCACAGAGGTAACATTTTCATGATGACATCCTTGAAACATAATGAGTTTATTATACATCACAGGTTGATGTAGAAAAGTATTCCTGCATAAGCCAGTTACATTAATAAATATTTCCATAGACATAATATTTGTACTGCTGATTTGTTATGTGAATGAATAAATATGAATTTATGAATATTGAGTTCAGTAAAAAGTTTACAAGTTGCCACTTATAATGCCATCTTAGGTACAAGGTACCTAGGTACAGATTCTTCAGGACAAGTTCTTAGGAAATAAAATGAGAAAAGTAAAGAAATAAAGAAGCCAGCACTGCAAATTGTAGGAATAAATTAGAAAATAGAAAAATACAAAGTTCAGAACAACAGTCCTTCCAATCCAGTCTGTGGCAGCACCCAGTCTCTAGTCCATGTCGAGCTCGGACTCCAGCCCACACATGGCTCATGAGGCCGGGAGACTGCCGTACAATCACCTTGAGGTCAAAGGTTCACACTGAGGCCATGTCGGGCTGAAAGACCACCTTGCTGGGCCGGGAGACTGCCACACCAGACCGACAGATCGCTGCACCAGACTGCCAAGAGACTGCCACGCTGGACCAGGAGACCACTACATGCCTCAGGGAGACCACCATGCCAAGCTGCCGAGAGACCGCCACACCAGGCCACCGAGAGATGGTCATGATAGAGCACCGAGAGACCGC